CACACGGGTAATTTGCAACAAATTTCCCAATGAACTTTTCCACCCCGCCTAAAGTGACTCAGTGACTAGCGCGAAGCAACTTTTCCTCAAGACGACATGGCGAAAGTTTTTCAATTTATTGGCAAACGCATTCAAGACGTCTGTAAGAAAGTGCTTCCTGCTGAAATTTGTTCAATGGGGAGGCAATGAGGGAGTTTCACAGCAATGTTTCACAAGGCATTTTTCCATGCATTTTTCTTTAGAGGTAAATTCTCAGGTCTAAATACATAAATTCTCAGGAGTTGCAGAAAGCAAGAATGTTGCATAATTCAATTTTTAACGTGTTTTCTAGAGATTTATTGCAGTATTTTTGAAAATTTTTAACACTCTTAACTAAATGTCAGCCCACTTTGGTAAGTTCTGGTGCATTCAGTCCACCTTCTAACCACCTTCTAACCACCTTGTTACATAGATGTATAACATTATATGTTCTTGCCTTGCTTAGATGAATTCTGCCTTGTACGAAACTTCTCCTAATTTTTGTCAATAACTTTTTCAGCACTTATGGTCCAAGTTTGCTCGCAAAAAACTTCTTGGCCGTAATATCACGATAAACTTTTACATTGTTTCAGCCAGGAGCACAATAGAAAGATAAGATGCAATAAATTTCCTGCTTAGTGCATAGCATAATGTTGACGATGCTGCAGAAACTTTTACAATCTCTAAATGAAATGGAGCGCTATAGAGAGGAAGATAAAACCACATGGCTTCGCTCGGGAAAGCGTCAAATTGTTCTCTGTGAAGCCATCACACATTGTTCTCAGTTGGGTCCTTTTTTACCCCGTGACACCCTTGTCACTGCATTGAGGGTCGAAGCACTTAAAAATCCTCGCCAGCAGGGAAGATGCAGAAACGTTAATGCTCAAATGCATCGTAAAAGTCCCGGGGAACCGCAATCTTCTCTCCCTTTTGCTCTATCGCTCAACTTCGGGAGGACCTTTGGAAAAATGGATGGATGTGAGAACTTCATTCCACCCCGGGGAGCTATAAACGTTTATAAACGAGACACTTCCATCATACGAGAAATATGACTGCATGCATTTTGAGCAGTGAAAATGTGATTTATGAAATTTGCACTGCGAAGCGCGGAAATTGAGTAGAATTTAATATTTCCGGATTATATACAAGTATTAGATTTCACTTCTATCCACCCCCAATTCTGCATGTCTGATGCGGAAATTATTATGTGCAGAAAATAACACCTCCCAACATCATGCATGGCGCGGAGCAAACAGGTATTAAATTGTGGGGAGTGAGAAAAGCGTTCATACATGTACAGTAAAGTGAAATAAGACATTCCCATAGCATCATGATGACCACAACTCAGAACTTGTTGCTGTAAAATGGTAATGTTTATTTGCTGCGACAGCAAATTATTTACTCGATATTTCTCTCTGAGCGGTGAAATGCTGAAAGACTGTGTCTGTTATGTATGTGTTCTCAAAAGGGATGCAGAGATCATGTTTATTTTGCCATGGAGATGAAACTACATGGAAGGCAAACATTTGTAAATGAGGTTAAAGACTCTGGAGAATTACCCCGGTTCGAAAATTAGAGTCAAAAACGGTTAGTTTGTTTATTCATCATCCTTCACTTCCACAGAATTGGCAACATGAAAGAAAATCCAATATTTGCCCTACAGATTGCAATAATAAATTGTGACACTGCGGGAGAGCTCTGTGGTTGACCCAATTTCCTTCTGCTTGGCAAATATTTTCTCTAAATTGTCGTCACACTGAAAAATGTCTGTCTCGGCTGCAAAAGGGCGCTCGCAAGCTAATACATTTTTGATGTGGAGAGATGTGAGAATTCCTTACGTGAACACTGAAGAATTCTTATGATTTGCACATTCAATTGTCCTCAGCTTTGTGTTCCACATATGAATTTCACACAGAGTTGCTGGGATTGAGGATAAAGGATGAAACCTCAAGAATTTTGAGCGTAATCGTAAGAATAACTTAGAGAGAAGTTTTTTTTGGCCTCTACTCCATAATACCTAGTGCAACTCAACTCTGGGGACGGATTAGAGTTTGAGGGAACGAGCAAAATGCCAAAGCTTCTCGAAGTGGAAGCACTTTGGTAGAATTTGAATTTTACAATCTCAACCCCTTCGTTTGGGGTTAAAGTGGAAATGACGATCCGGAGAGATGTGGAAAACTTGTCCATTTCGCTATTCACTCCAGTTAGTGATTTATTATTCATCCAACGGTGTGGGTTACAATTTGCTCAAGTCTAAGATGGTGAGACATTTCGGCAGAGTTTGCCTCCGGCGATGGCAACTTAATAGCTCACACTAATTCCCCGAAAATCCACAATATCATCACAACACACTCATCAGTGCTGAAAGGGGAAGCTTGAAGTTTTCACGGGATTATGCCAAGCTCTGGCTGCGTCCCATTGTCTGGCCTGGGCTATGGAGCTTCGCAGTGGCGCCAAACGCCCAATTGAAGAGTCTTCAATTTATTACTCAATGCATTCATTCAAATAACAAATTGGATCTCATCCGGAATGGAGAGAAATGCTATAAATACAATACAATTCATTTGCCCCAAAACTTGGGCACTTCGTGCGCAGTCATTCTCAGAGTGTCACTAAAGGTAATCCATCTGGAATGGGAGTGTGTTCAATTGGTCTTGTCGTATCTAAATTGTTGACATGAAGTTGACACGGATTAAAATAAATGGAGAGTAAGTCTAGTAACACACTTGCCAGCTGAAAAATGAGATTTCCTTCCCGAAGACTCAGTGTGAGTCCGGAAAGGTGACAATGATCTATCGGAATGACACGGAGCTCGCTTTCACTTTTAATTTAACACAAGAGAGCGGAGGAAAAAATCCAAGGAATTTGAATAACAACACATCCGGAGAGAAATATTCCCCGGAAAGGACGTAATTAATTGCTTTCTCACCTCCTGCCGTCGGCCATAGCTTTCTTTTTCCATTATTTATAATCCTTCTGGGTTGTTTTTCAATACAGGGCATTTTCAGAGAATTCCATTTCAAATTAAATATTTATGGCCATGCGAAGCAAAGAGAGAGGAAATAATCTTACTTAGCGCAAGACTCCAAGGGATTTTTCTATAATATCTATTGTATTTGGGAAAGAAGAAAATGTATTTTTTTCTTTACTTTGTAGACTAAATTGATGCTCATGAAAACGGGGATTGAATGTAAGATTTTGTCAGTGAGCGAAAGAAATTTTAATAAAAAGAACTGAATGTGAACGTAACTTTTCACGCGGTCTTAAAGTTCTTTCTCTTCATTTTGGGGTCAGTATAGAGTTCTTTCTTTCATATAATCGCTTTCGAAGGAATCCAATTAATTGACGTTTGCAATAGGTTCATTTTCAGGAAAATTCATGACTTTACAAGTGGCTTTAAGAGTGACAGGAAGGGGTTGAGAAAATTGAGGGAAAGCTCATCGATGGAGCTTTCCAATTAATGCCACGTGATAATTCTGCGGTGGTGGCAACACAGAAGCAATTAGGCGACACCCCAAAATAGTGATGGTCATAAAGAGTACCCCAATGACCTCCATTAAGCGTCTGTCTCTGCCTCAGCGCCGCGCTCGTTCTATGAATACCAATTTAAATGCTTTCGCTGCCGCTCTCCATGTCCTTTTTGTCACTCCTCCTGCAGCAGCACTGAAATTTATATGGGACAGTGAAACTTTTTGAAATTTGCTCTACGCTTCCAGAATGCGATTTCCACCTGTCTCTGTCGGAGGACATGCTCTGAATTCCTCCGTTCTCGCATCCCACCCCCGGGAAAGTTAATGTACAAGGAATGGGGAGCGAGTCTGCTGGGAATTTCCGGTGTTTAACTCTCTTGTATTTACATCCCAGAGTCACCAATTCGAATGCTCACTCTCGTGATGGTATTTCCATCACGAGGTGGGTGGCAATAAATTTGTCTGAATCTGAGATTCTTCGCAGAGAGTATTTTATTGCCTGATGCCAAATCATTTTTCACCGTTTCGCAGCATGTCTAAAATCAAAATCATAATTTGCGCAAATTTCCCATAAATTATCAGCGTGTGTTAATGTATGTGTGTGTCTCTCTGGAATTGAACAATTCCCCGAAATGAGCATCGCGAACAAGTGTGCTCCAACATGGAACGAGATTTAAAATGTGCACCACTGCTAATGATGACAAACAGAACGTGTTAAGCAATTAATTCTCATGGAAATTGCCTCATAAACTATCACAAATTATTTGTACGCCGTTGAGGTGGATAATTTTGGGAGATATTCCCCGCGGAATGTGAAATACAGCGCACAATACTACTTAGATAGCCTCTCAATCAATCAAATGAACCGTTTTGGAGAGACACTTTTATTGGCTGACTAATGTTATATGGAAGATAGTGGCATTAATTGGCTCTTCGAATGATTCACGACAAGATTTGACTTTAGTACAAGCTTTAGTAGGGAAAATTCTTGAGTGAGCACAGAAATCTATTTGAAGATAAGTTTAACATGACCATTGAACAACGCTGTAATGCAAATTTCTTAATTCCTCTCTTAAAGTAAGATTTACGATCACTTTTACTGAATTTTTATAGCGTGTAGCATTTCTCATCTGTCTTCAGAGAGCAGAAGAAATCTTCCTTCACTCGTAGTTTTTTTTCCAATGCTTTAATGCCTGCAAATCAATACGATTTTCCCATTGAAGATGGTCAATAACCTTCCGGTCTGAACAGGTGAAGCGACGTCAGTTCCAGTCAACAGGTAATAATGACGAGAACATTTCCCAGACGTTCAGCCACTCAATCTGTCTGCAGAGTCTCCGGGGAGAATGGGATCTGGTCTGATTTGCGAATGAACCCCAAAAGTGGCCTCAGTGGCCAATTAATTATCCGGACATGTGCTCCAGTGGCTATGGAAATGAGGCGGAAGGTCACCGGAAAGCTCACTCAATAATTAATAAGATGCTGAAGTGCTGATTCATGCAAACAACTCTGTCGAATGCTTTGTCATAGTTTATTTTCCAAATGTGCAAATTTCTCATACAAAGTATAACCACTTGATTGATTAATTCCAATATATTGTCACTACTGATTAATCCATGTTGTCTTTCACCATCTCAAAATCTGACGAGTCATCCTTCTTCTCGGGCATCAGTTTCTCCGCTTCTGCCTCTTTGGGAGCCTCCTCGGGCTGCTGATGAGTTTTCCCTGTCTTCTGGATCGGAATGACTCGCTCTTTTGATTGTGTCGCCAAGAGAGGAACTCTTATACTCAGGATTCCATCATCTGAGAGAGCCGATGAGGCTTCCTCGATGTTGAACTCCTCGGGAATGCGGTAGCGTCGCACGAAACTCCTCGAAATGCTGCCAAATTCATCCTCCTTCTCCTCCTGCTTGCCCTCCACAACAACAAAGTTATCCACTGTCTTCACGTTGATCTCGTCGCTGGCGTAATTCTTCACATCCAGGCTCGCTGTGTAGTCAGTGGGATTCCCCTTTGCTGGGCAGGACTTCTCCTGGCAGAAATCTCTGCGACTGCACCGCCTCCGGCAGCCGTGTCCACGCCTGTGGTGATGCCCATGATGGCCAGATTGTCCAGGCTGATCTTGCCAAGAGAGCTCAGCCAGAAACTGCCGGATCTCGGGCTCCGCGCGATGCAGTTCACTGCTGATATCACTGACAAGTTGTGCAAATGCCATTTTCACTGGTTCACAATTTCTCACAATTTCTTCGGGAACACAAATTCTTGCTCGCATTTCTAGCTCGCTCAAATCGTACTGATGAACTCCAAGTGGAAATCGACTGTATTTATACAACCAGCATGGCATCGAGAAAATTCCATTGAATATCACACCATAAAAATGATGAAATCTGGTGAAAATGTTCTCGATTAGTCTGGAAGGTTCTTTAAGGGACTTTCTCTAGGGATGAGTCACCTCTTTGTTCAGCTGCGAATTGCATATCATTGTAAATTCTGATTATAAGAAGTACCATTTAAGAGGCAAGTAAGAGTGTTAAGAGAGGCGAATGCGAAGCATTTAAGAGGTACATTTTCATGCAATTTAAAAAGAAACTGAAATCTTGACTGAAATATTCCCTGGGAGCGTGATTAATAGAATGAATGTATGGGAAATGAAATTAAAAGTTCGTTTAAAAATATTCAACAAATATTCTCAATTAAGAATTATTACTCATGACAAGACATTTTCATTGCTAATTAATTTTCATCGTCTATCTCTGCAATACAGATATGATATATCAACTGTGAATAATAATTAAACCGAGAATAAACGTTGGACTCCAGAATATTTCACCTGATTTCCAAAGCATCTTTGTGTAGATTTGAATCCACACTTCTTCTCTTTTGGTTCCATTCGAATCTTTTTTAATTTTCAAGATACTTTTCATCCGCCTTATCTTATGGCAAACTGAGCAACTCGGCGGGGAAATTATGGCAGCGCGTGACAGTCAGTGACAGCGCCTCAGTTTCTCTCAGTGTTTTGGTGTGTTGTGCAGGAAAGAGTTTCGAGTGAGAAAAGCACTTTATCAGTGCCTATCAGGGAATTTGGGATCTAAATGACTACCATCACACTTGTGAACATCCACACTCCACCCAGGTGCAGATAGCGGGCGAGCTTATCGCATTTCTGTGCTGGCACAGGTGTTCAATTGGGGCCCCAAAAGAGACTGAGTGCGCGTCCGGACAGTGAGAATAGCAGCAGTGCTTAGTAATCAATGCCTCTGACGTCAGACATGGAGGCGCCGCGGAGCTGAGGGACTGGGTTCGCAGTTCAAGGCCGCGACAGAATGAAGGGTTCCGCGAGCCCGCAGGGCGATTCCGGGGCTGGGAAGCTGTGCAGTGTGTGTGGTGACAAGGCGCTGGGCTACAACTTCAACGCCATCACCTGCGAGAGCTGCAAGGCCTTCTTCCGACGCAACGCCCTGGCCACGAAGCCGCTCACCTGTCCGTTCAGTGACCAGTGCGAGATCACGGTGGTCACGAGACGCTTCTGCCAGAAATGTCGCCTGGAGAAGTGCTTCGCCATAGGCATGAAGAAGGAGTACATAATGTCGGAGGAGGACAAGATCCAGAAGCGCAAGAAGATCGAGCAGAATCGTGCGAGAAAGAAACTGGCCATGGGAGAGCCGCCCGTGAAGGTGAAGCGCGAGCCCATGGACTCTGACGTTTGGATGCAGCGTCCGGAGGGATTTGGGGGCTGCGAGGGCAACTCCTCCTCATCCGAGGCGTCATACCAGCGCCAGGAGGGACAGTTCTCCTCTCCGGAGACCACTGGATCACTGAACTCACCGACGACGCCAACTCTGGCGTCCAAAAACCTGCCCACGATTGAGTCCTCACCCTCGGAGATCGTCAACAGTATTGTGGAGTCCTCAGACGTGTCCAGGGTGATCAATCGCCTGATGAAAACACAGGAGGACGCAATTGACGTGATGGCGAAGATTCTGAACTCTCCCAAGGACGCCATCGTCCTTATCAGTCACTTCGTGGGACAGCCAGGAGATGCCCTGAAAGTCATTAGCAAGATCATGAACTCTCCCTTCGACGCCCTGACCGTCTTCACGAAGTTCATGTCCTCGCCCACGGACGCCCTCGAGATAATCGCCAAAGTGGTCAGCTCGCCGAATGATGTGTTGCAATTCCTGCAGCAACTCATGCGACAACCTGAAGACGGCCTCCAGATCATGCAGAAGTTCATCAATGCGCCCGCTGAGGCTCTAAAGCTGATCAACAACATGATGCACCAGTCGAAGGTGGACTCAACATCGGGCGACAAGTCTCCGGAGCTGGAGAGTCAGCTCAAGACAATACTGCACAGCATACAGCCCAGCGAGAGTCCAAAGTCCTCAATAGGACAGTCACCGGGCGTGATGGCTTCTTCCACGTGCGACGGAGCGCCATCGGAGGAGGCAGAACTGGAGCCAAAGGAGGATGAGGCACGGATGATCCTGGAGGATGTGGAGAAGATGCCCATTCTGCCCAACTCAATCGAGTCCGTCCTTTGCGAGGCAATCAAACTGGAGTACGAGGGATGTTCGTCCATGGGACAGTCAGGGACCAACAGTCGGGAGCTGAATGATGCCGAGAGGGCGAAGCTCAATGAGCTGATCGTGGCCAACAAAGCGCTCTACGCTCCAGTGGATGAGGATCTCTCCAGTCTCATCTCCGATGACTACAGAATGAGGGTGAGTTTGAGTTACTTTGACTGAATTCTCTGTAAATTGTTTATTGATCAATTAAACGCGTCATTTGATTATCATCATAAATTTTCTTACTCATCATTATGTTAAGACGTTAATTATGAGTTAAATGATCAAGAACTAAGCATAATTTGGTTTAAATCAGATTGGCAATTGAATTTGCCCATTTTATCTGCATTAGCATAATTGAGGGAATGCATATAGCTGGTATTCTTCACAAAACACTTCTGCTTCATTCTATTCAAAATGCCTTATCAGTGTTTTCTGCAGTGCTCCGCGATTAAACACGTTCGACATAGTCGAGCTAAAAAATTTCTAACAAGAGTTGTGATAATGTCAATGGCACTTTTGAACTTCGCTGTGGGTCAGTGAGTGTTTAAATATTAATTCATGGGAAAAGTGGGAAGAAAAGACAAATGTATTGATTTTAATATGGCTTCAAACCACCCACTTTGAAGGCCCGTGAATAATAATAAGGAACCCTTATTGAAAACTGGGTGTTGAGAAAGGTTTTGTTCACAGCATTTGGTGGGCAAAGGTTAAAATTCAACAATATATTGTTTGCCTGTGGGTGAAGAATTGTAGCCAAGTGGGCGAATTTATTCCGGAGCCAGAGAGGAGACCATCAAAATCAATTCAGGGTGATCAGTTGATTACAAACGTGAAATTCGTTGTTGGCTCTTTTTCTTAAGTGATAAGGAACACGGCTATCGCTGTCTCGTATTAATTCAGGCACGAATGTGTTGAGAAGAGTTCTCCATCCCTGACTCTTGATAAATATTTTATTTTGGAGTCACACACAGAAAAAATACCACAGCGTAATTTTTACATAAGTCATCCTCTCTCTTGACATAATCCCAAATGGGAAAGCTCGTAAATCTGCCATTGAGCAAATAATTGAGGCACTGCGCAGATGAAATAATGGACCTCAATCACACCCATTGTGGATGTTTGTGTGTCTCTTTGCTGTGATTCAACTTCTTAGTCTTCTAATCAATTTCCCATTCCGCTCCGCGCGCTCAACCCCGAGAGCCGCACTTGAGCTGACGTTTCTTTTTTATGATGGTGTGCTTGTGCCTTTGCAGACCAATCACAACCAGCAAGATCCGCAGCTGCTCAAGCTCGTGAACTTGACTGCCGTGGCAATCAGGCGACTGATAAAGATGTCAAAGAAGATCAGCGCCTTCAAGAATATGTGCCAGGAGGATCAGGTGGCATTGCTCAAAGGTGGCTGCACGGAAATGATGATCCTCAGGTCGGTGATGCAGTACGACAGCGACAGAGCGTCGTGGAAGGTAATGTTTTTTCTAAGAAACACATTCTTGACTTTGGCCTAAAATGTGTGGATTTTCTTCGGCAGATTCCTCACAATCTGGAAGAAATGTCGAGGCTGAAGGCGGACGTGCTGAAATTGGCCAAAGGGAATGTATATGAGGAGCACGAGAGATTCATCCTGACCTTTGATCCCAAGTGGAGAACAGATGAAAATATCATCCTGATTATGTGTGCCATAACACTCTTTTCGCCAGATCGACCTAGAATTGTCCATTCTGACGTGATAAAGCTGGAACAGGTGATTCAACAGCCAATAACTTCTCTCTTCATTACATCCTTAACACTCTTTCCATTCGCAGAACTCCTACTACTATCTTCTGCGAAGGTACCTGGAGAGCGTTTATCCGGGCTGCGAGGCGCGATCGACGTTCCTGAAGCTCATTCAGAAAGTGAATGAGCTGCGGAAGCTGAATGAGGTGATCATCAGCGTGTATTTGGACGTGAATCCGTCCCAAGTGGAGCCTCTTCTGCGCGAGATCTTCGACATGAAGAACCACTGAATGTTTCTGCCTCACAAACACACAGGCTTTCTATGGGACATCACACGACATGCAATTTTCAATCATAACAGGAGCTTTAAGAAATCTTCATCACATGTGATATTTGTAAACTTCTTCAGTTCATTACAAGAGTGCATAGAACAAGCTATAGAATAGTGGATCGTTGTTGCCCAAGGCGCCGACGATGGTGGATTGTCACAGAGAGAAAAAAAACAGTTGATTTTTGTATATGGAAATTTTAACACAGAACGCAGTTATAAACGTTTTAAATGTAATAGTGTTTAATTTTGGAGATAAAACTTTGAAAATATATAGATAAAAGTGTTAGAAGAATATCTCAGACGTTCTGAATCCATTGCAGATCCGATGAAATCTCCTCGCGCTCTCGCTTCATTTTCTTCTTCAAAGGCGACTTTTTCGGCGATGCGGTGTCTTCCTCACGATTCCTCCTCCTCTTCAAACTCTTTCGGGTCAATTCCACTTCCGGAGACTCTTCCTTGATCACCACATTCGCAATTTCTGCGAATTTCTCTTCGAAATTTGCACCCAATAGAGGATGGCGCACTTTCAAACTGCGCGGAAACTCCTCAGGAGCATTGTCCTGAGTGAAAGTGTAGCAAATCTCCGGCTTCTCGGTGCTCTCAGTAAGAGTGATCTTTCCGACAACGGGATAAGTCTCAGCTTTCAGCCTTCCCGCGTCGTGACACGAAACTAGAGTTACTGTCTTGGAAGTTGATTCCGGGAACTTGTCAATGGTAAATTCTAGTCCATTATCCTCGATTTTCGTGCAGCCTGTCAAGGCGATCTTGCGACTAAGCAACGTCTCGGGATTTATCGATTTGTGACACTGCAGAATGAAGACCTCCTCCTCGGAAAACACCTTCACGTCAGGATCATCATTTGTCGGCGCAGTCAGAGATAAATTAGATTGTTTCTGCATGAATTCCTTCACTTTCTCGGAAGCCACGACTTCTTGCTGGCGAATAGCTTCCCGAATAATGGGCTTCTTGATATCCTCCTCATCTGAGTCCTTGGCAGAATCACTCTCAGAACTGGAACTGCTGATTTGCCCCTTTCGGGGAGTCTTTTCGATGGAATCCTGCTCCTCTTTCACACTCAGAGAACCGCTTTTCTGTCGCTTCTTCGATGGACTTTCTTTCTCCTTCTTGAACGACACCTTTTTCCCTGGTGAAAAACTCTTCATTTCCACAGCTTACACAATCTATACGCAAGGAAATCGAGGAATAATTTAACACAACAATCCCAAAACTTGCTATCAATTTTTGTAAACATTCACATGTGCTCACTTGACCGTTGACAAGTTTCTCTCCGAAACGATCGCCGCGCCACAAGCGGCAATTTCGCTTCAGTCGTTTTTCCATCTTTGAAAATTGGAGACGAAGAAATTTTCACTTTGAGTTTTTATTGTTCTTAACAAGATTTGTGCTTTGATTTTGTGTGAAAATATTGTATATGTGTGTTAAATAGAATTGTACAGTATAATTTAAGTGCGTTTTGAAGAATATTCCAAGAAATTAACATAATATTCTGAAGGTAAGTTCTTGTCATTTTATTCTCATTTTTTCACACAACACTGGTTTTCTCAGAATGCAATTTCCCCAATTTTTGGAAGAAGCTAAAGATGTGATTTCTAGCATCATTTCTGTCGTTATATATAATTATTTTTATGTGAAAATAAGATTGTGGAAAAACTGTTAGTAAAATTTCATAAGAATTTCAATATGGCCGTGCTTTCCGAAGCAGCCGAAGAATTCGCCGAATTTCGGTCCGGTTTCCGAGAATTGGACATTTAAAAATTAAATGTCTTATTTTCCCTCTTTAAACTGACACCTTCGCGAGCACATTTTTCTCCTCGATTCCTGTGCATTTTTCCAGAGTTTGTACGGCCATTTTCATTGAAATGGAGGATCGCACAATTCCTGACATCATTCTCGAGCACAACATGCACACAGTGAGGCAGGATCTGTTGAATCTGGTGGAATATGACGAAGCGAATTTCCAGCAAGTATACGCGTAAGTTTTCTCAAATTTCCACCATGATTTTCCGAGAAAATGGATTCTATTGCGTAACTTGTGTTGTCAGGAATTCCCAGGGTAAGGTTCGTCCCATTCTCGGACGGAGGGGCTCCGCTCCTGAGCCTCAGGTGTCTTATTCTCGGAAAATGAGTGCGGATTCTGTCTTCTCCGATGGACTTCTGTTCTCCAAGACGACTCTTGCGCCAGATAGACCATCTTATTTCGACGAGGTGCGCCTTACCAGCCACAGCAAGTGCCATGGCCAGAAGTTCTCTCAAATGGAGCCTTCCAATCCGGAGAAGAAGTTGAATTTCGGCGCCATCAACGTTTTCCCCAAATCACGCGCTCAGCCCAAAGAGAAGAATTTGCCGCAGAAGCTGAAGGTTCTGGAGGATAGTCTTCTAAACTTTGTCAATCTCTCGAAGAGCTTAAACGCTCTCCAACCCATGAAATTCGCTGTTATCCATACAGATGCTGGACCTTTTAATGGATTGAACGAGTACTTTGATTACTTGATCAATTTGGCCATCAAGGAGGAATACTGGGTAAATCTTTAACCTCTCCATGAACCTGAAGACTTCTAATGCCTTGTTATTGATCCAGATCTCAACAATCACATCTACGCTCAATCTGACGGACACTTTCAAGGACGGCTTCTTCTACTTGAGCCACGAGCTCTATGAGAGCATCGTCGAAGCGGGGAAATTCACCAAAAAGCCCTTCCGATTTGGTAAGTGAAGCCATTGATTAGAAGCCAAGCATTTTTCTCCTCTTTACACGCACTCTTATACTCTTGTAGAAGACATGCATGAGCTTAATGATTCCATTGATGCACTAATTTACTGGATTCGTGTATTTTACACCTTTGTCTGGCTCATGATGCGCCACAGTGAGAATGTGGGTCAAGTGCAGGAACGAAATCTCTTCATTGGCGTCTAGATGCTTATGAAAATGCACAAGATGCATTAAAGCAATATTAATTATAGGTTTTGTAGTTAGTGTTTTAATACTTTTAATTGTAGCTTCTGTTTAAATGTTTAACTGAGAGTAAAATCTCAGAAGTATAAATTAAAAATAAAGATAAACCAAAGTGTTTCTCGAGCTGAGCGGCATTTTCACTGCACGAGGAAGAACTTCAGCGGAACTTTGGTGGACACTTTGTTGAACACATCCTCTGTGATCTTGGAAAATACCTTTGTGATCGATGGTTTCATGTCTTTGAAGACGTCTCGCCAGTTTTCATTGACATACTCGTGAACGGCATCGTCAATTTCCTTGTTCTCATTGAAGATATTGTCTAACTTTGTCCACATGCTCTCCGGTTTAATGTCCACCATTGTGTTTATGGCCTGAAAATGTATGGAAAATAATGCCATAAGTATTATAAAATGCTCCACTTTTGACGCAAAAGCGATGAATTTATTTGAATAAATTGTACGTAAAATATCAGTAATCGACGATCTTATTATTGCCACTATTGCAATTAAACAACTATGATTATTGTTATTACTCATAAGTATTTCCAGAATAGAAGAAATTGTTTACCAATGGAATTGCATTATAAATCTCTCACGAGTAGTTATTTGATTTGATAGACCCTGCGGGAAGATCTTGAAAATATTGATTCACTTATCTTACCTTGATGTAAATTTCTCCATTCTGTGTGTATTTCTCCAAAGTGTATTTCACTGTTAATTCCACATTATCTGCAAAAGAAAATCCCTCACTCAATCTTCACTTCTTGTACTGCACAAGAACACTTACTTATTGTGATATTGCCAATTCCTGAGCTTGTCAGTGGAATGAGATGAAATTTGCCTTTCATTTTATAGGGGCCGTGCAGGGTGAGTTGAGGCGCCGTGAGCACGATTTCGTTCTCTTTCCCGCTAAAGTCTTCCTGTATTCCACTGGGTGTGAAGAGAAGAAATATGGTTTGAATATATTTTGTCACATGAACAACAATTCCAAATGTTCCTACGTAGCTCTGACTGCCTTCATCTTCCGCAATCCGTGGAGTTTTACATTGAGCAACAGCAGTTTGAAATGCACTGTCGGTGTGTACTTTGTCGAGAGTGTGGCATTATCCACGAGAAGTGGATCCATTGGGCGAAAATCGAGAAAATCATCACCAAAAAGACTGAGAATCACATTAAAGAGTTTCACTACACAATCACCATCACCGTATGTGCAAGGCGTAAAAGGTTGTTGGGCGTAACTCAGAGAACAGAGGTTGATAAAGAGAAAAATTTTCCACTTTTCCATCTTTTCGCCTGTCGTGTCTGGTGGAATGTACGCGATAAAATACTCTTGAGTGGTGGAGAATGATTGCTTTTATACAGTCTGATCGGTTGCGAGATGCGAAAATGTTTTCACGATGCATAAATTAGTATGAATTCTAAATAATATGGATGCTATTTAACTGATTTCTTGCTAATAGTAATTATTTTGTGGAAATCAATACGACTTGTGAAGGAAATTATTGGGTTTTTTGATAAATAAGTCTGCTGAATGTTTGGAAAAATACTTGATAGACAACTTTTCTTGTCTTTCTCTCTTATAATAACAATTCCATATACACATATACAAATAATAATATGCTAAGCAAAGAACTACTCTGATGAATATTGTTGTTAGAATTTCTAATGACCTCAAGAAATTACTTCATGACGGAATTGGAGACATTTATCACACTAAACCAGTTTATTCTCTTTTTATCACTTTGTTTTGTGGTTGATTTTCAGTTTTCCAAGAAGAAATCTTTGTAGGGTGTCTTGGAGAACGGCTCAATTACGAGGCTGCTGAAGAACTTTCCACTCAACTTGAACATTATGGGCTTCATTTCGTCATAGAATAGCTGCCAATTTTGGTTAAAGAAATCATTGGCACTCTGACCCAAAGCCTGATCCCCGTTAAAGAGATTGTCAAAATGGAAGTACATCCTTGAAGAGAAGCGTTGTATTTATCGTTAGATGCGATTACGAGTGGCTCTAATAAATCTCTTACCTGGATGTTGTAAATTGTGTTTTGTGATTCAGCAGCTTCATGTACTTCTGATTGTCTTTTTCAATCAATTTCACTGTGGCATTCCATTTGAAATCCCAATCGAGCATTGTATAGTTACACTTTCCTTCGCCTTCCATCGGAAAGAGGAGAATTTGGGCACGCATCTTGTAATCTCCAATTACTTTAACTTTATCCAATGTGTAGTGAATGTAGAGATTCGTTGGGTTTTCCGTGAAACCTCTAGAATTTGTGGAAAATATTTCGTTTATCCACGTTCGAACGCACTTTAGTTTATCAACTTACTCAATTTCGAGTATGTTAGCATTAGAAAATCCGTACACGTCAATATCAATGAGGTTTAGTTGAATATTTAGAACTCCCTTCGTTGTCTTTTTCACGTCGATTTTGTCATAAAACAATGGATCGATGGATTGTATGTTCATTTCTTTAATTCCACCAGGAAAATTTTTAATAATATGCGATGCAGTCTCGCGAAGACATTTGGAATCACCATATCGACATTTTTGAATGCCCGGAGCTGTGAAATATTCATGATATGTAGTTCAGAACTGATTTGATAACTGTCGCTGATGATGTCTTACGAAATTCAGCATATGCCTTGTGGAAAAGTACAATTAACGCTGATAAAACTATCACAAATCTTTCCATTTCTCTGGGATGATGATTACTGCCAAAGTCTCGAGAAAATACTGGAAAATTTTAAAGATCAGGTCCATTTATATACTCTCTGCCCTGTCTAGCTGTCATTATCTCGAAAACAATTTAGCGTGAGATAAATAGTTTCAGACTTGATGCAACAATTAGTGGTCGACATAGTTTTTACAAAATAATTGTGATCTATGCAAATGACATGCTAAATTTCTAATAATTTGTTTATTAGCAATTGATCTTTGACTTAAATTGAACTGCATAATTTATTCATTCGCTATTTTCTCCTCGTCGAAGAGTTCATTGTAGGGAATCTTGGAGAGAGGACCGCTAATGACGTTCTGCAGTATTTGTGAGATTGCATCCGTGAGTGCTGGCTTCAGTTCAGTCAAGAGAACGTTCCAATTTTGATTGAGGAATTGATTCATGTTCTCACTCAGTGCTTTGTCACCGTTAAATAGATTCTCAAAGTACATGTGAAGCCTGACGAGAGACAGCAAATAGATAGTTATCGTAATAATCTGTTTGAAAAAGGCAATCCATTAAGTTTAATTACCTGGTTGTGTTAAAGAAAAGCCGCGAATTGTCGACTTGTACGTATTCCTTATTATTCTTTGTAATCTTTTTCACTGTAAATTTCCATCCGGCATCCCAGTTATCGAATGTGAGATTGCATTTTCCCTGTCCGTTAATAGGAAGTAGCAAAATACGTCCTTTCGCCTTGTAATTCGCTGTCAAGACGAGCTTGTCTAGACGAGCTCTCATCTCGATCTTTCCTGGATTTCTCTCGAAACCCCTTTTGCGATGTAAATTGATTGAATTAGAATTAATTTCATGCTGATATTCGTGATTTACTCACTCCATTTTGTAGACTTTCAATTGACTGAGACCATTGAGAACAATATCCCGGAAGAACAGGTTGATATTAACCGGTCCATCCGCATTCTGTCTAATGTCCACCTTGTCCACGTGAAGAGGATCGAGTGGGATGAGATTCAATCCTGGATTTCCATTTCCGGAAGACCTAAGAACGTCCTGAGATGACTCAATCAAGCATTGAGAATCTCCAAACTGGCACTTTTTCACATTGCTTGCTGGAATTTTTAACAAAATTCACATTAAAATATTTTTGTCAGTCCGTCAAAATCATTAGTACACTTACGAAATTTGGCTGATATCAAGACAAAGGATAGTGAAAGAAGAAAAGCTTTCTTCATTTTCTCAACTTAAGGATAGAACGGTTTATAATGACAATGTTTGATTGAATAACTTGGATTTGTGTGAAGTTGCGCGGTTTTATACGAGTTTCTCTCAAGGATTTAATCTGATTACAATCTCTTACGTCTAATTTCCTCTCTCTGTCTCTCACTTGTGATCAATCGTGTGCGATACTGGAAGAAAATGTGAAGCATTCAGTGAATTTGCATTGCAAATTTGTGCATGTATGCAAGCTTTACTGTAAAGTTTCCAGTTATGTGTGAAAATTTACAGAGACGAGCTTTATAATACTAGACAGAAGCTTTTTCTCATCACTTTATTTTGACATCACATTGATTACACATTGAAGAATGTTCTATAAGGTATGCGGCTTAGAATATGATTGAAGATATCCATCCAAATTTGCCCAAATGTCTTCATGGCCGATGGTTTGATGTCCTCATAAACCAATTGCCAATTTTCGTTGATAAATTGATGTCCATACTCATTCATTTGCTTGTTTCCACTGAAGAGATCGTCAAAGTTCATGTACATTCGAGTAGTACTGACATTGAGCTTGAGTTTCTCAACCTCCGCATATTCCTCGCCATCCTTGATGACTTTCTTCAATTTTAACTTCATCGATCCAGCAATGTTGTCTGAAAACAACTCCATTATCTTACTTGAAACAGAAATAATTCTGAAATTCCATACCCAATGTCACATTTGACGTTCCCGATCCTTGAATATCAAGCAGCAACAGCTTTCCTTTGATCCTATAAGGCCCTATTAGAGTGAATCTTGGTGCTTTAATCATCAATTCCGCCTTTGTTCCATCAAAATCCTCCGGGAAACCACTGGAATGCCATTCAATACATACAATAGCGCATAACATTGTTTTCACATTGAAAACGTAATGGAAAAATCTTACCTCACGTCAGTGATCTTTGTATCGCGATATCCCAGAAATTGAAAGTCTTTGAATTGCAACGTGAAACTGATGGTTCCTTTGCCTTGTTGAACAAGAGTGGCATTTTTGATGGTCAAAGGATCCAAAACTGGTAACTCTAACTCTTCATTTCCCATCCAGAATTGATTTATGATGGACTGTTGCAGCTCTACAGCGCACGCCATGTCACCATAGTCACATTTTATCAACTGAAATGCTGTAATTTATAGAATCGAATGCAATATTTTTATTCATGTAAATCGTATAAAACTTTCACTAAACTTACACTTAAATCCACCTATTAACTTAACTTTTAGTAGACCTACAACGAGTACGAGTGAGAGAAAAGCTTTCATTTTGTTTGATCTTTTCACTTTGCGAGCAAACTTAGGAATGCGAATCTTTCTCAATAGATCCGTTCAATTATATAGTGAGAATTTATATAATAAATTTCTATGTATATATAAAAGAATTAACACCTGTGTGGGTGGGATTAGATCGTCTGAAAGGCATAAATCGTCATAAAAGTAGTGTCGGAAAACGATTTGCATTGTGCAGTGATGAAAATACATATATGACGCATGTCTAGTCTGCTATTATATCATAACTAATAGCAACTTTGCAATAAAATTATGAATTATTTTTAATTATACACACTGAGGTGTTTTATTAATAATTGTTCTCCACCCCCTGATCCTCCTGACCCTTTACTTCAATTCTATTCTTACTCTATTCGTCTATGAAGAACTCTTCGTAAGGAATCTTTGTAGTGATCTGATTGAATATGTCTTGCCATATTTTAGTAAAAGTCTTATAAATTGAGCTTTTTAAAATCGAATACACCTGCTTCCAGTTTGAATTGACATATTCATAAGCAATTTCTTCGACAATTCTATTATCCTCGCGAGATTCGGGAAATTCAAGTCTCATCCGATCAAACTCAGCTTTAATTTTCATATTATCTATCTGTAAAAAAGAAGAAATGATAAAAATTAGACTATTAATCATACAGAAGGCAATTAAGAACAAACCCGGGCATAAATCTTTCCATTCTTCTCCAACTTTCTGCTTATGAATCTCAACCGTGTGTGCACATTTACTGAAATGGAAATTAATGCGTGAGAAATGTTAAAAGCTATTGATTTAGAGAAATACAGAAAAACTTTTCACACTTACATAAGATTACTGTGCTGTTGCCTGATATTTGAAGAGGCAAGCCGAAGAGAGTTCCTCGTGCATCGTAGATTCCGTTCATGACATATTTGGGTGTGAAGAGCATAATTTCATTCTCCTTGCCGTCAAAATCCTTCAGGAAGCCACTGTAATTATTTTATAAAAATTACAATCGAATCAGTGGCTAAATTACCATTTTCTCTTACGTGAACTTTTTGGTTGTCGTATTTCGGAATCCATGAAAAGTGGAATTGTCAAAAGTGCAGTTAATCTTGAATGGTCCTATTTCTTGAGTCTTTATAACAAAATCCTTGATTTCAACGGGATCTAGTGGTGGTATATCCAAATCCTTGTTGCCATCTGCCAACTTTTGAATGAGCGAATCATACATTGTCACAAGACAATCGGAGTTTCCATATGGACATTTCACAACGCCAAAAGCTGGAAAATTGTACGATAAATTGCAGTTACTTTCTCACAAGCGCTACGACGTTGTGTCTTACAGCTGATAAAATCCTGTGCCGGTACTACTGATATAATGCTGAAGAATTCAGTTAAAAGCACTAAAACAAATTTTGAACACTGCATTTTCACTAGTTTCTTCCAACACTGTTTCTTGTGCACTCAACCAAGGATTAATGCAAACTGTCTTGAAATTGTAAGTCAAATGCATTTTTATACGGTCTGTGAATTGATTACATATCAGAGCTCTTTGTTTTGTAATAGGAACTTCCTGAGAACCTTTGCATATAAACAAATAATAAATTGTGTGCAGTGTATTAAATATATTTTCAACTCAACATATCTGGGAAACCTTTCATATATGCACATAAAATCAACGATTATATTGTATTATTACTGTTATCATCTATCAATTGATTGACACAGTATAAGATTGAGTAAGGTAATTGACTTCGAGAAGATACAGTTTCGTTTTGTAATGCAAATATCTTTCCGATTGAGATTAATTTCCAGAAATCACTTATAAAATCTGTTTACTTTGTCAAAATATTGTTGTTAAACGCAGAGCCACTTTAATGATAATAGTAATAAGATAACATCTTTTCACAATGAAATAAAAATTCAAATGAATAATTCATTCGTGAGTAAAGTTAGTGAAGTTATTCGACAAAGTATTCTCTGTATGGCAATTTGGCGAAGACATTGTTGATGATTGTTTGAATGGCTGCTGCATAAGCTTTGGATATGTCTGGCTTCAATTCGTTAAAAATATCCATCCAGTTCTCATTCAGGAAGGTATTTGTAGTGTCCCCTAAGAGTTTATCGCCATTGTAGAGATTATCAAAATGAATCCAGAGTTTGGAGGTTGTCATTGAGATTTTGATGTCGTTGGTCTGGAAGTAGTCATTTTGGTTCTTCGTGACCTTCTTACCGGTGAATTTTACACGGATTTTAACGTTTTCTGTGAATAAATTAGTCTTAATAGTAATGCAAAATGCTTTAGATATCCAAGTCTAACCTAAGGTGAAGTTGCTTTGGCCATTTCCTTGAATGGGTAAAATTAAGACTTTCCCACTGATTTGATATTGTCCAACCAATTGAATTATTGGCGCCACAAATTCAATTTCATTCTTCGATCCTTCATACTGTTTCGAGAAACCGCTGGAAATATACAGAGAAAAATACGTAGAAAAAGCGTGAGAAAACTGCCAACAAGATTAATATTACAGTGATCGGAAAAATTATGCAAAATATAGTCTTATTACGTTATTCTCTGAATTGCGATATTTTTCAAGCCATGAAGGGTAACATTGTTGAAAACCAGTCTTATGTTGACAGCTCTGTTCCCAGAATTCTCAATACTTATGGTTTTTATGGTAACAGGATCCAGAGGAACCAGATTTAGGGATGGCAATCCATTGTAGTGTTCTGAAATGACTTTCTGGGCCACTTGAGTCATACAATTTGAGTCTTCATATTGACATCGTGATATTGTCGAAGCTGCAAAGATTTTATTCATATTCACGACAGTTTTATGTCTTATTTATGCAAAGGAGAATTATCTTGAAACTCACGAAATTTCGCTCCACTGCAACTCAATATGAAAATGATTATTATAATTCCTCGAGAAAACATGGCGATTATTTAGAACTTTGCACAAAACAACTGAACAAATTCACTTTTAATGTGTATTCGATCACTTTGTGATGTGTTGTGAAATCAAACTGATATAATTTCCTTGTTTTATATGAATTCTTGTGCGAAGGTTGATCAGTGGATATCTGTACATTACTCTTGGCAATGTGACAATTTTCAGAATGATATCTTAAGCAATATTTTATATGAAAAAAAAATCGCCGGATTGTAGACAAGTTTTCCCAGTTTATTCTCGTCTAGTGAGAAAAAAGGCAGTTCAACCCTGCACATCAAGATCACTGCTAATAAGTTCTGAATGGAGAGTGAAAGTGATGCGAAATTGCGTGAAAAAGTAAGCAGAATATGGATGTGAGAAGAATCCTTGAGAACTGCTTTTTATTTTTCACATCGCGATTGAATTTATCAGCGTTTTGTTTGCAATGATTGATTCATTGGAAGAGATTTACAGAGCATTATATCATGGGAAATGAGGAAAGGAATACAGAATAACCATTATTGGAAAGTTGATATTCTGTCTTATTGAATTCATCAACATATTTTCACACTGCGATCAACTTGCAATTTGCCAACATTGTATAGTGAGTAAAGGGGAGACAGAATTGGGAGTTGTTTTCCTTTCATATAAAGTTTATTGATGTGTAATTTTCGTATTATGATATAAAAGTACAACAATTATCTTATATAACTTGCAAGTGTTCTTTTGAATCTCGATGAATAAATTATATCATTACATCTTGTTGTTAATAATTGTAGAAGACTTGAAAAGAATTTTTTTTAAATAATGCCTCTCCTAACGCTTAAATAAACTTTCCTATGTACATGTCACTTCGGAATATGATACAAAGTTTTTTTTCTAGTTTATCCACGTGGCAGATCTCAATTGCAGCAAGTGCAAATGCGAATAATTTTGCATTCTTGAGTAAATTTTAACATCGTACGTGATTGAATATCATTTTGCCTGAGAGATTGAATCGTCTTAATTGAGAAAGCTGAGATTGTATGAAAAGTATCAATTACACTTGTTCACAGATGACGATGTTTAGCTTGTTGAACTCGTCTAGTCCAGGTAGATATCACTGTAGGAGATCTTTGAGAATATCGTGTTAATGATGTGATTGAAGATTTGCGAGAATGCATCGTTTATGGCCGGTTTCAACTCATCCAGAATATCCTTCCAGTTCTCATTGAGGAACCTGTTCATGTTGTCACTGAGCGCTTGGTCGCCATTGAAGAGATTCTCGAAGTTGATGTGAAGGCGGGTGGTGCCGAAATTGAAGAGGAAGTCTTTCGTCTGAATGTACACTTTGGAGTTTTTGTACGTTTGCGACGTCTTGAACTTGATCTTGAACGTGAGGTTGTCCAGTGTCAGATTGCTCTTGCCATTGCCCGTAATGGGCAGAATCAGCACACGCCCGTCAATCTTGTACTGACCCAGCAGCATAACGCGATCCAGAGTCGCCTCAGCCTCGAAAACGACATTCGTGGGATCTTTATCAAAGCCCCTGTTTTTTTTGTGAGAAAAGAGTGCATTTTTGTTATACAACATCAGTGACTTATTGCTTAAATACTCACTTCACTTTCGTCACTACGAGATTCTTCAATCCCGTGATGTCCGTATTGCTGAGCATGAGATTGATGTTGACAGGACTCTCTCGCTCCTGAGTGATTTTAATCTCATCAACGTGCAGTGGATCAATGGGAATGAGGTGAAGTCCTCGATGTCCATTGGGAACCATCCGAATCACCTTTGTGATGACTTCCGGCAAGCATTGTAAATCGGCTGGCTTGCATTTGGGAATGTCATCAGCTGAAGAGAGACAATTAACATAAATGGATTAAACATTAATTGTAAGCATTAAATCTATTGTTATTATAAAATCGCAATTGTGTTATTAATTAAACATGAATCATTAAGATTCCAATCCATTTTGTATTAGCATATTTTTTTCGCGTAATTTCTTCTTGGAAAATCACACACATGAATTGACGCACATTTTTTTGAGAGGAAGCGGCAATTTTTCATACGAAGGTTTCAAGTTCACGATAATTTATGATAAAAGTGGAATTTTACAGGAAAACTAAAAGGTATTTCTGTCACTTTTGAAGTGTTTTGCCGTCTAGTGTGAAACTTGAATTTATTCAATCATTATTTGTTCTCACTGTTAGCATTTAATAGCGATAATACATTTGGTGAATTCTGACCGTTTTTTCCTAAAATTACACAATGACTATGCGAAGAATGTTGTTGTCAAAAATCACCAATATGTGAAAAGTGTAATTTCCTGGATATTTATTTTGGCACACACGATGATCGAACTGAGTCACTTACGAAATTTAGCCGCAAGCGATGACTTCACGAAGAGCAATACGCTGATTAGGAAGATAAATCTGATCATTTTTGTATACACTTTTCTCGCTAATCTTCCCAACACACTTGGCAGAAAATGAATGAGTTAATTAGAGGCGGGAAATTTGCGATCACAATCACTGAAAATTTCCCTCTTGTTTGTGCGTACACGCAAAAAAGCCGTGTTCACCGGTTGACGGCGGCGTTAACAATGGTCTTGGCTGGTGATTAGACTGATTCTTTATATAGCGAACTTATTCAAGGATTTCTAGTCGTCTCGTCTCAGCTATCAACACTAGTGCATCGACTTACACTGCTTCACAACTACATTTATCTGCTAGACATAAAATAAGCTCTTCACCGGCGCTTTTTTGCTACAATATTTCGTTTATGTATTCAATTAGGGTCTGAGAATATCATACTCAACAGCGCTTATATTGTTTTGTCTAAATACTTCCAGGAAAAGAAAATCATGGTATTTACGGTTCACAACCTTGACTAATTCATCGAATTCATCAGTAAAAATTTCTATGTAGTGCAAAAGATCATAATCAATGCCGGTTCGGGAAGAGAATAGGAACAAGCTATATAAATAAAAGTGGTTTTTCGCTCAACAGACCATAACATTGAGGGTGGTGATAAAATTTTATGTGATCCTCACTAGCGAGGATCGCATAAAACTTTAGATGTTTTGCTTGTAAATTTGACTTTTTGTAACATTTACATTTCTCGCGAGAAGTTCATTTAAAAGACAAATCGACGGTCATACTTCTCATCTCATCAAACTGGCATTGCGTTAAATTGGATGGACTGTGTAGAAAAAAGAACAATTATTCCCATGTCACAGAGTACATTTCTTTGAAGATGTGACTTGAATTGGAGAGAAAACCTGCTTAAGAATTCTGCTTTCCAAAAGAATGAAGAACGAGCTCACGCTGGCACTTGAATTGCTAAACCACTTGAGAAGTCATTTATGTTTTTATTGATTGTAAATTTAGCAAAACGAGGGGAAAAAATCAAGTTCAGAAGACACTCTCAATGTCACTGGTTAAAACGTGACACCACTAATCTCTGGGTGGATCAACGAGTCGAGAGATAGAGAAATCCCTGATTACAAGAATTGCTGGTTAATCGGAAAATACTCTAGTTATCTTCCGTGTTTTTGTAGATTGAATTTGAACTGGAAATACCTCAGCTAAAAAATTCCACCTGTCTTGGGAATGCTTTTTAGGGCTTCGTGGTTGGCATTTAACATCAAAGGCGAGTTGAATGAACGTGTTGATGCATCAACAGGTAAAATCGGGTTTTTTATGCTCTCCAAGAGAGCTTCAGAACCATGACGAAAGTCTCCCCCATTCTTATTTATTCGCAAAGCCCTAAACTTGCTACAAAAGTTGTGTTGTTGGGGTGAAGTTTTATGTGATGGTATTTTTTCCACAGTCATAACGAGTGGTGGAAACATTTGAATATCACGATATCCGTTCCAACGTCATTCTTCCACCCCCAGCGCTAGTCTCCCTGGCAAATAAATTGTTTCGAATAAACGGCAGACAACTCTGGTATTGTCTCTGAAAAACTACTTTTAGTCGCAGAAGAATTTTCGCAGTGGAAAGTCCATGCTGAAATGCTCTGCATAAAGTCATGGGTCTAATTAAGGAAGAAAATTGAGTTGAAAATTGCGCAAAGTGTGCGTTTTAATGAGGATACCAGTGATTGTGTGGAATAAAAGTGGAATTTTGACCTGAAAAACCACAAAATTCCGATAAAGTGTTACGTAATAGTAGTTATGTAACAGCAGAAGAAGGTTTTCCCTGAGGAAAAAGGTGTATAAATCCCAGGAAATGCGTAAAAGACATCCAATGGAGTGATACAGTTTGGAAAATGATCAAAAATATCGTTGAATATCCAGGAAATTATACTTTTACTCTTGCATCTCTTGCATTTTCAAGTGAAAAGTGTTACATAACACAGTGATATTAATCACTACTGCTAAATCTCATGCAAATAGCATTAATCTATTGAAAAACCATCACATTTTAAATATATCTAAAACAGTTTTAGTCGAATTTAAAATTTAGTCGCAATTTGTGAGTGAAAACTTTTCCACTTTCCAATATGGAGGCTGGAAATGAAAATGGTGGTCCTGACCTGCGCTTTGAATTCATGGGATCTTATGTGCAGAAGACGCTGAAGCTGAAGCCAGAAAAATGGCTGAGAGTGGTGACAGTGGAGGAGCACAAAGCAATTATAAAGGAGTTTCTAGACAGGCCAACTCCTGTGCACTTAGTGATTCTTCTCACGCCATCGGCACAATTAATTCCCTGCACGACGTTTCCCCTGACGCAGCTCAAGACGAAAGGTGAGTGACTCGCGCTGACTAGAGCACTCTTATGCACTTGCTCTCCTCCATTGCAGGGGTGTACTTCATCAAGAAGTACCCACAGGAGGTGCCTCGGGAGAATTGCCAGGATATGCTGATTGTTGGTGATTTGGCAACGAGAACTATTGATCAGTTGTCAACGCTGGTAGATGAAATATTCGTTCCGTTGCTCTCGAATCCGCAAAACCACAAAGGTTGGCCAGAGATGGTGGCTCAAGATGTGCAGAAGCACGTTCACAGTCTCAAGAGCACGGTTTATCAGGTGAAGGGCCAAGTGAGTGGCCAAACTGTTCTCCCAATGCCAGTGGGAGTGGAGAAAGTGATAAAGGCAGCCCAGGACATAAATGCGGACAAGGAGTGTGCAGTGGATCTATATCTCAAGAGTGCCATCGAGGGAGTGGTGATAAAGTGGGCCACCCAGATTAATGATGTGATGATTGAGAATCCCAACAATGCCTTCAACGGTGGGGCCAATCCGTCGCCCAGTGTGGAGTTGAATTTCTGGAATAGTCGCTTGAAGAATCTCAACTACATTTATGATCAGCTCAAGAATGAGCGGGTGCGGTGTATGGCATTGATTCTCGAACATACCGACAGTGCATACTTCCCCTGCTTCAAGAATCTCTTTAAGAATGTCGTAACAGGTAAGGAAATCAATATTTTGTACTGAATTCCTCATCAATGTTTCTTTGGTCGGTTCGAGAATTCGCGAGCTGTCCTTTGTTTTATCCAAAATCGTCTTGACGATGGTAAAAAAAACGTTGCGAATATCACAAACAACCTTCACATTTCTTTTGTCACAGTCATTTTTCATGTTCGTGGCAAAGAGCTCTCCAAAATAGGTACAATATTGATCAATCAGAGCGACTTGTTGCGCTCAACAAAAATTCTACATACTGTTCAAAAGAATTTCCGTGCAAGTTTTTGATGTGAATGACTTTTTGGAAACTATGCGATTCCAAACTTCCGTGCTGGCACGCAAAGTTTGGGCGGAAAGTTTGCACGCTGATATTCTATGATTAGAATGCTCACAGAAATAGAGTCTAATTGATGGGGAATTGCAAAATAATTGTCTCGTGATGAAGTGAACAAATCAGTTCTATTTGCCTTTGCAGCTCTCGCTGAATCTAAAGACATCACGCTCTACATTAATCCTCTACAGAAGCACTTCACATCGATTGAGGAGTCGGATTTCTCTGAGTCGAAGATCCTCATTAAGCCAATGATGCACGTTGTTTGCCTTCTATGGGCCAATTCACGCTACTATTGCCACTCATCAAAGTTGATTGTGCTGCTGAAGCAGATATCCAACTTGCTTATTCATCAGGCTAAGCGATATCTCGATCCTTCGAGTATTTTTCACACCGACATCGACGAAGCAATGCAGAGAATCTCCTTCTCCATTCAACTTCTGAAGCACTTTAGGCAGATTTTCGATGAGTGCAAGGAGAATCTCGCATCTTACTTTACAGATCGTCCTCCGATTCACTGGACTTTCCATCCCAACGCTGTATTTGATCGCTTCAATGCATTTCTCGATCGTCTCAACACAATTCAATGGTGAGTGTGTGTCTATTTACATAATGATCTGGTAGCAATTGTATGTAAATTGCGAGAGAAAATATGCCTTAATTGACAATGGGGTGCAATGTATATACGCAGGTTCTTCTACACTGTGATTGAGTTCCTGAAGCTGGAGAAGGTGGAAATAGGCGGGCTGAAGGGGCGCAATTTGAGTGCAAGAATCACTGCTGTGTCAGTGGAGTTCAATCACTGCTTCTCACAATTCTCAGCAAAGACCTATGATGTTCTGGATCCAGATGATCCGTCATTTAAGGAGGACTTTGTCAAGTTCCAAGAGAGAATCCTCGAACTTGATCTCAAATTGGCTGCAATTCTGTGTCAAGCATTTGATGATTGTCACAATTTGGAGAGCGTATTCAAGGTAAAGAGGTTCATTTGCAGTTTAATGTCTCGCTCTCTTGTGGCTTTCGTAGTGTGCTGTTGATTTTGTGCGCGCAGAAAAAGTATGGTGAACAGTTGTTGCATAAGTTTGTACAATATTTGCAGCTGATCAGCATTGTGGGCAGTGTGCTGGACAGGCCGAAGATCAAGGAAGAATTCACCAACAAGTACTCGGAGATACTGAAGATGCTGGACGAGGAGATTAGCATGTGCGAAGATATCTATCAGATGCAAATGAGCTACCTGGAGAGGGAAGGTCACCTGTTTATTGACCAAAGCTGCCCACCGGTGACCGGCTGCTTGCGCTGGGTTATGCAACTGTCTGGTCGTCTGACGCCGCCAGTTAAAAGCTTCCAGTCACTTCAACACCCGTAAGACTCTCGCTAGTTTTCTTCAATGGCGATACACTGACTAACACTCCTCTTGCATTTGCAGCGTGACTAAGACACCCGAAGCTCTTGAACTTGTTAGGCGCTATGAGAAATTGATGGAGCTGCTGTCTGTGTTTGAGGACAGAGTGTTTAATGAATGGCGCGAAAAAGTGCCTGAGCAGATTGAACTGAATCTGCAGAAGTCTCTGATGATCAGGCATGAATTCACGAAATTGTTATCATTGAATTTTAGCCCGCAACTCTTTGCCATACTGAAGGAAGTGCACTATCTGAAGCTGATGGGCAAGGAGGGCATCCCAGAAGTGGGAATTCAGTTCTCTGAGAAAAGTGAAACGTACAGAGGATACACTTTGTCTCTCGAGAGAACAATTGACTGGTATAATGAGGTAGATTTAAATTAACTTTCCTTTAGTGCACACCCTAAAATCCCCCTTTAATTTGCCCAGATCCTCGAAAATTCCACAACAGTCGAATTGGAGTTGATTGAAGAGGAAATCCAGATGATTGACACACTCCTTGAGGTCGGAATTTCCGAGTTGACTTGGAATTCAGAAAGTATGCAAACGATTTCAAGACGATTTGAATATCGATGCAACAGATTATTTGATTTATTCTTCTCTTCCGATCAGACATAATGGATTACTTGACAAAGCTGAGGACACCTGTGGAGTGTCTTCAGCAACGCATGCAAAACATTCAGAAGAACCTGGCAGAAATGCGACAAATCTTGGGCGCGTGGTCAAGACTACCACTCTTTGAGCGGAAGGATGGGAAGAAGGACACAGTGCTGTGTCTGGATGAGAGATCGGACAGGATTGCAAAGCGTTATGCAGACATTGAGGCGGCCTCGACAAAAATTCAAGAGTAAGTAATAGCGTTTCTTCAGCTATTTACAACTGTATACGTGACTTCCCCTTCCAGACTGTTGGCGGAAAATGTGGAGCTGTTTGGTATGCAGGAGAAGCAAAGTGCGCCAATTTGGCAAGATTACGTCGCATTCATTGACAATATTGTTTATGAGAACCTCTTGTTGGCCGTTGGCGTCAGCATGAGTTATTTGTCCGACCACATGGATCCGAGCAATAATTTTGCCCCGCTATTTGAGTCACGTCTGGAGCTGCTGGATCCCGATCTGATCTTTGTTCCCTCGCTGGATCCCAATGATCCCAAGGGATTCAATCACCTCCTGGCTGGACTGATAGTGGACATCGCAAAGATGTCTTCGCTTATGTCGCGAATAAAGCCAGACAGCACGGATTCCTACGAGAGAATCATCACAGAACATCCGGACATAATAGAGATGAAGGAGGAGATTTTGGATGGAGTTGAGAAGGTTGTTCAGGAAGCTGCGGAGTTTTGCCGCGGTTTCGAAAGATACTCATATTTGTGGTTAGATGATAGAGTGCAGTGCATGGAGTTATTTCTGGAGTATGGAAGGATTCTGGATATTGACGAGATTGATCTGATTGTGGTGAAAGATCCAGCAGCTCCTCAGCCATCACAACCCACAATTGAGGCTTTTAGAGAGCAGATTGACAATTATGAGTCTCTGTCGCAGGAGATCGAGGACATCGAACCCTTCCAGGTCTTCAACTCCTGGTTCCAGGTCGACGTTCGTCCCTTCAGGCAGGCCCTAATCAACACTGTGAGAAAGTGGGGCAACATGTTCAAGGAGCATCTGGTCAACAGAGTGACTACCAATCTCTCTGACCTGGGAAACTTTATCCGGAAAGCTGACGAAGGCCTCTTGCAGCCAGTGAAGGAGGGTGATTACGAAGGATTGGTCAACATCATGGCTTATTTGCTGCACGTGAAGGAAAGAGGTGCTACAACGGATGAGATGTTCGAGCCAATGCAGGAGACAATTGAATTGCTGAAATATTATGACATGGACATCCCTGAGGAAGTGAATGTCCTTCTCCAGGAATTGCCTGAACAGTGGGCAAATACCAAGAAGATCGCCATCACGGTGAAGCAACAAGTTGCTCCACTTCAGGCGGCAGAAGTCGTTGGAATTCGCAATAGGATACAGACCTTTGACCAGCATGTCACCTTCTTTAGGGATGTTTTCCGCAATTATGACTTCTTCAGGTACGAATGCGAAGACCCTTATAGATTGGCGGACAGAATCAATGGAGATATTCTGAGGCTGGAGAATGAGATGAAAGATATCCAAGGATCTGGAAGTCTCTTTGAAGTGAATGTCCCTGAATTCAAGCCGCTGAGGCAGTGCAGAAGAGAGTTGAGAATGCTGAAAGTGAGTTGGATGCAATACATTAAGAAAATGGTCTTCGAGTTGATTGATTTCTTACCAACAGCAACTTTGGGACTACGTCTTTATTGTGCGCACAAGTATTGAAGATTGGAAGACAACTCCTTGGCGGAAAGTTGACGTAGAGAACATGGATATTGAGTGCAAGAAGTTCGCCAAGGATATTCGTCTTCTGGACAAGGAGATGCGATCGTGGGATACTTATGTGACTTTGGAGGCCACCGTGAAGAACATGCTGACATCTCTGCGCGCTGTGGGTGAGCTGCAGAATCCCGCCATTCGCGAGAGACACTGGAATCAGTTGATGGTTTCCACAAAGGTTTTCCATTTTTGCATTTTCTACCTTTTTCTTCAATTATTATTTTCACGCAATGACGATGTATTATACATTTAATGGCATAGTTAGATTTAATTGCTTTGTAAATATGCCGACACAATTAGCGAACATGAAAGGAGACAAAAAAACTGATTATGGGTGGCATGAGAGGGTCTCGAGAAGACTGTTCGCTAATATTTGTACAGTCACTTTTAATGTTTTTGATCACATTTCAGCATTTGGCGAGTCTGCCCAAAGAGATTACCGTGAGTATAGCTCCGTGTAAATACAATGACTTAGAATTTTTACTTAGATTGATCATATAATATTGATTGAAGATATTTTTTATTGTACAAAACAATACTTTTTAGTGTTTACCCCTACTTGTTGTGTTAAAGTTATGCACAAAGAGTTTACAATCACTTAGAACTTTTATCTTGATATGTAGTATACTTTAGATTGTAGACAAGAACTCTCTTTGGTGATATCAAGAGATTCTAATTCTAATAATTCATAGGTTCAATTCATCATGGATCATGACACCACGCTCTCAGATCTCCTGGCGCTAAATCTTCACCAATGCGAGGATGAGGTGAAGACCATCGTGGACAAGGCTGTGAAGGAGATGTCCATGGAGAAGATCCTCAGGGATCTCAATACAACGTGGTCAGCAATGGAATTTGATCATGAAACACACGGCAGAACGGGATGCAATCTCTTGAAGGCTTCTGAGGAGCTGATTGAGACTCTGGAGGATAACCAAGTTGTTTTGCAGAATCTCATCACGTCCAAATTTATAGCCCACTTCCTGGAAGAGGTGTCCACGTGGCAGAAGAAGTTGATGATCGCCGATCAGGTGATCACAGTGTGGTTCGAAGTGCAGCGCACCTGGACTCACTTGGAGAGCATCTTCATGAGTTCTGAGGATATCAGAAAGCAGCTGCCAGTGGACTCTGATCGATTTGACAGAATCGATGCGGAATTCAAGATTCTGATGAAGGAAATGTCTGTGACATCCAATGTTATCAACTCAACAAATCGCGATGGATTGTGTCAGCGTCTGGAGGCGTTGCAGCAGGAATTGACACTGTGTGAGAAGGCTCTGGCTGAGTATTTGGAGACAAAGCGACTGGCTTTCCCGAGATTCTACTTTGTGTCCTCGGCGGATCTTCTGGACATCCTCAGCAATGGGACAGAGCCTGATTTGGTGGTGAAGCATTTGACAAAGCTTTTCGACTCAATCGCCAAGTTGAATTTCATAAAAGATCCCAATGGAGGATCTCACAGGAAAGCCCTTGGAATGGTGGCCAAAGACAGCGAATATGTGGAGTTTAACGAGGAGGCAGATTGTGCGGGAGCTGTTGAGGTGTGGCTCAATCGCATCCAGGAATGCATGAGAAAATCCCTCTGTCACTACATCGCCGATGCTGTGGTGGCTTATGAGGAGAAGCAGAGAGAACACTGGCTGTTTGACTATCCAGCTCAAGTGTCTCTGTGCGGAACACAGATTTGGTGGACAACAGAGGTGAATATCGCGTTTGGACGTCTGGAAGAGGGATATGACAATGCCATCAAGGATTACCACAAGAAACAAGTCTCTCAGCTGAGTGTCCTCATTTCCCTACTCTTGGGAGAGCTCAGCAAGGGAGACAGACAGAAAATCATGACCATCTGCACAATTGACGTTCATTCCCGAGACGTGGTCAGCAAATTAATACAGTCCAAAGTGGAAAGTGCATCGGCATTTCAGTGGCAATCACAACTAAGGCACAGGTTAGTTGAATAGTGATAAAAGAATTGACTAATTACCTTGAAACTTACGTGAATTCTTGGTTTTTAGGTGGGATGATAAGGAGTACGATTGTTTTGCCAATATCTGCGATGCTCAATTTCGCTATAGTCATGAATATTTGGGCAACACTCCTCGACTAGTGATCACTCCTTTAACCGATCGCTGCTACATAACTCTGACACAATCTCTTCATCTCGTTATGGGTGGAGGACCCGCAGGACCTGCTGGTACGGGAAAAACGGAGACAACCAAGGATCTGGGGAGAGCTCTTGGCATCATGGTTTACGTGTTCAATTGCTCAGAACAAATGGACTACAAATCCTGTGGGAATATCTACAAAGGACTGGCTCAGACCGGAGCTTGGGGATGCTTCGATGAGTTCAATCGTATTTCAGTGGAAGTATTATCTGTGGTGGCCGTGCAAGTGAAGTCCGTTCAGGATGCCATCAGGGACAAGAAGTCCCTGTTCAACTTTATGGGCGAAATGATAGCTTGCGTGCCAACAGTGGGAATTTTCATCACCATGAATCCCGGATATGCAGGACGAACGGAATTGCCGGAGAATTTAAAGGTGAGATTAGCATTGTAGTTTGTTTATTAGACATTCTCATGGGTGGACATTTTCCTGGATCCAGTTGTAGTAGGACGGGACTTTAGTATAGACTCCTGGCCATCCGTCGAGGCCACAGATGGATGGGCCAAAAGAGACGATGCCCGCGCAGAACCAATAAGGTCTGTGTTCCGTTGAGTTTGCCATGGCGAAGAGAGCACTTCCCGAGTCACCTTTGCAGCTGTCCTTGTCTCTCTGGCCACCAGCGCAGATATGACGATCAGTGATGCTGACTTCCTCTCTCTTGTAAACAATGCCGCAAACCAGAGGAGAGACATAAGACAGCTGAACTTTCAGTTTAATGTTGCTAAATGCTGCACTCTCGGTTCTTCCCCATCCAGCCACGTAGAATTTCGCCCCAGGATTCGGTTCCCATTCCTTGTGGAGGCAGATAGGCTGAACAAAGGCTCCCAGAGTGGCTGGATAGAGTAAACGGATCAGGGCGATATCATGCAATTGATTTCTCGATCTAGATTTGTAATCAGGATGAGGCATAACACTCTCGACGGGAATGTCTTGAGGTTGAGGAGCACAATCGTTTTCCTCGCAGTCAGGATCTGTGGAGAGATTCCACTCGCCAAGGCGGCAGCGGATGAGCTTCCAGGATTTTGGAAGATAAACTCCATGAACACAATGAGCTGCTGTTAAAACATAGCGGCTGCTGATAAGGATTCCTCCGCAGTGAAAGTCCGTGCGATTCATTGGCTTTTGGTATTCCAGCAGAACAGTCCACGGAAATTCGTCAATGAGGGTTCTTTCTCCGCCGTAAACGTAATTCCCCATGGTCATGGTCCCACATTCGAGTCCCCGCTGAGGCAACAGAGAATCCTTTCCCGCGCAGCACACCAGATACTGTCCATCCTCATAACCACACTGACTTCTGCTCATGAACGAGCGATCCTCATTTGTCAAGGGTCTTTTGTAGCGCAGAGTGTCGTAGATGGAAGAGCACTGACTCAGGTAAACACACTTTCCCATCTTCTGGTCAGGAGTGAGGCAAGTTGTCTCAGCTTTCCTCTCTTCTGCATTCCCCGGACAGCACACAAAGATCTTGTCACTGTGAATCGCACACAGAGATGATGCGAAATATGCACGATTTGGAGCGTTGAGGGGCAAATCGGCCATAATACTGTAAATATTTGAACACTTTGCCCACTCAATACACTGTCCACGATGTCCAGTTGGAGTCAGACAGCTCATATCACACAACACAGATGTGAGATTGACCACAACACTGGCCACAATCAAGAGAATTTCCAGTGAGCTCATTGCTATTTATTTATCTCACTAAATATTTGGTGTTACGCAGCTCAGAATAAGTCACTTTTAATGAACAATCACTTCCAGTGCTGACGGATGGAGATTCAGAGTCCAAATGAGGTAACGGCTCCAGTCTGTCGTGTGATTGCGATCGTCGAATTTTGGCCACACTACCTGAGGAGACCAGCAAATGAGTTTTGCTGCACAAACACTCTTCAAACATCTAGACAATTAGGTTGAAATTGGTCACTAAAATGCTCCTCAGAATTGTTCAATCCACTGCACAAATTTCGATACATCCGTAAAAACAACATATTGGCTAAGATCACAGAGTCCAGAGATGGGATGTTTCACTGCCACCGAGATGATCCCCAGAAGTTGCCATCTGTGATCCTCGTATATCAAGAGACCGCTTCCGGAGTCTCCATGGCAGGGCCCACGTTTCCCATCTCGCCAGCCACCGCAGAAAGTTCTGGGTGTTGTGATGATGCTGAAGATTTTCCCGGCAGCGAGACATTCTGTCTCAGAAACGATGGGTATCTCCAGACGTCGAGGCTCAAATGTCAAGATATTATTGTGTTCATCTCGTCCCCAGCCCACAATCACTCCTAAGCGTCCTGCAGGGAGGATTGAAGAGCGCGAGAGACAAGCTGGCTGGATGAACTTCTGGTATTCTACAGGATCCCGCATGACGAGAACAGCAATGTCAGCGTCGAAAGCTCCGCCGTTGTTTCTCAAGAAATCCGGATGAATGTGAATTGAAGATATCTCAGAGATGACAACGTCTGAAAAATTATAATTGTTGTCTTACATTTCCATTTCCACTTCACTACATTGAGTGCAGAAAGTAAGTCACCTTTCTCAGTCAGCTTCCGAAGATTGTGCTTTCCCAGAAAGGCTATAACATCTGACGCAGCATAGAGATAATCATCCCTGTTGTGCAAGCAATGAGCAGCACTCAGGATAATCCTTTCCGATATCAGTGTTCCTCCACATATGAAGGACAAGTTTGTGGTTTTATAGGCGTGCAGTGCCACCAACCATGGCCAGGAGCCTCTCTGCATTTCATTGCCAAACATCATGAGATTTGTCACCGTGAACTTGTCGTGAATCTTCCCGCACTCATTGTCAGTGTCGTCAAAGCGATTCTGCAAGATGACTTGTGGGTCAGCTTTTGTGATCTTGTCGTGATTTTCTCCAGCTGAAAATCTCTCCTTGGCCAGTTTAGTGTAAAGTGTGTGCTCCAAACGGATTTGCGTCATGAGAAGACCTTCAATGTAATTGGGTTCTGCAAATTGAGAGTGTGTCAGTAGAGAAAAGTTGATCATTTGATGCATTTTCACTCACTATTAGTGCAGATTCGGTGACCATTGTAGATGATAGACGACACTCTCGGAATTGGTGTGTGCGGTGGGAATTTCACGCGATACCGCACTGCCTGATGATGAGCGATGCGCCGGAGGGTGTCCTCCCTATTCTTCCACAGCCCCAGACTGCCCAGATTCTCAGTGGCGATCTTCTGCGGCACTAAGAGGACCACAGCGAGATTCACTGTGACCCCCATTGGTGGACTAGTGACTTCGATAGCGCCCTGCCACTCCTCGCCATTGTAGATGTAGTGAAAGATTCTGGGACAAGGTGAATTCGGTTGACATCTGATCAGTTGAAATGCACTCACGATCATGAACACTGCCAATGGCCCCAAAAGTGCCATCTCTCCTGGCACAAGTCAACAGTCTCATTTCTCCCATGTGCCCAGACTGAAATCTCACCACTTTCTGACCGCGCGTGAGAGAGAGAAGGAGGCTCTCAGGAGGAGAAGTGTGTCTCTCACGAGGCTGATGAGGATTAAAAAGCCATGTTTTGTCCTATTCTCTCATACAGTTTTAAATGCGAGCGTACAGAAAGTCATTAAGCCAGACAGAAAAGGGACAGAGCAGCGTTTAACCATTACAGTCATTAGCAAAATACTCATATTCCCTCTCGTTCTTTTCTTTTATTGCCTTTTCATTGCACTGAAAACATTAGTCGCCCTCCAATGGAAATTTTGTTTAAAAATCACAATTTGTATTTATGAATGTTTTACTCTTTCAGGCCCTCTTTCGTCCTTGCGCCATGGTTGTGCCGGATTTTGAACTCATCTGCGAAATCATGTTGGTCGCCGAGGGATTTCAGGAGGCCAGAGTGTTGGCCAGAAAGTTCATAACTCTCTATACGCTCTGCAAGGAGTTGCTGTCGAAGCAGGATCACTACGATTGGGGATTGCGTGCCATAAAGTCCGTACTCGTTGTGGCTGGTTCGCTGAAGCGAGGTGATCCCGGGAGGCCCGAAGAAGAGGTGCTCATGAGAGCCCTCAGGGATTTCAACATTCCGAAAGTCGTCACTGATGATATGCCAGTTTTTATGGGGTTGATTGGAGACCTCTTCCCAGCACTGGACGTGCCCCGGAAGAGGGATCAAGACTTTGAGAAGACCGTCAAGCAGGCGGCTTTAGATTTGCTACTACAGCCAGAGGATAACTTTATCCTGAAAGTGGTGCAGCTGGAAGAGCTGCTAGAAGTGAGACATTCGGTATTTATCGTAGGAAATGCCGGAACAGGAAAGACACAGGTGTGGAAAACACTGTTCAGGACGTATCAGAATGTCAAGAGAAAGCCCCTCTTCAATGACCTGAATCCGAAGGCTGTCACTAATGACGAACTCTTTGGGATCATCAATCCAGCAACGAGAGAGTGGAAAGACGGACTATTTTCTGTGATCATGAGGGAGCAGGCGAACTTGAGTGGAGACAATCCCAAGTGGATAGTTCTGGATGGGGACATTGATCCCATGTGGATTGAGAGTTTGAACACTGTGATGGACGACAACAAAGTTTTGACCCTGGCCTCAAATGAGAGAATCGCTCTGACGCCCACAATGCGTCTCCTGTTCGAGATCTCCAATCTCAGAACAGCCACACCGGCCACTGTCTCCCGCGCTGGAATTCTCTACATCAATCCTCAAGATTTGGGATGGAATCCCTACGTGACCAGCTGGATAGAGACTCGAAAAGTGCCGGCTGAGAAGTCTAATCTCGTGATTCTCTTCGACAAATACATTCCGCCATGTCTGGACAATATTCGATGCAGATTCAAGAAAATCACTCCAATTGCTGAGATGGCACATGTTCAGATGCTGTGTCATCTTCTGGATTGCCTACTAACGCCACAAAACACTCCGGCAGACTGTCCGAAAGAGTGGCACGATCTCTATTTTGTCTTTGCCTGCGTTTGGGCCTTTGGATCTTCAATGTTCCAAGATCAGGCGATTGATTACAGGATTGAATTCAGCAAATGGTGGGTGAATGAGTTCAAATCCGTCAAGTTTCCAACGGGAGGCACAGTGTTTGACTACTACATCGACACGGAGACGAAGCAATTCACCGTTTGGACGGAGAAAGTGCCCAAATTCGAGTTGGATCCTGATCTTCCACTTCAAGCGGTGTTGGTTCACACGGCGGAATCAATCAGAATTAGATTCTTTCTGGACTTGCTGATGGCGAAGAAGCATCCGGTGATGCTGGTGGGAGCTGCGGGTTGTGGCAAGACTGTCCTGGTCAATGAAAAGCTATCTGGCCTGTCTGAGAACTATGCTGTGACCAATGTGCCATTCAACTTCTACACTTCATCAGAGATGCTACAGAAGATCCTGGAAAAGCCACTGGAGAAGAAAGCTGGCCGAAACTATGGTCCGCCAGGAAATAAGACTCTCATTTACTTCGTGGACGACATGAATATGCCTGAAGTGGACTGCTATGGAACAGTTCAGCCTCACACTCTCATCAGGCAGCATCTTGACTATGGGCATTGGTACGACAGGAGTAAATTGACCATCAAGGACATCCACAATTGCCAGTACGTGTCTTGCATGAATCCTACGTCAGGAAGTTTTACCATAAATCCACGGCTCCAGAGGCATTTTTGTGTCTTTGCCGTTAGTTTTCCCAGCAATGATTCTCTAACTACGATCTACCTGTCCATCCTGAACCAACACTTTGCTAATGCTGAGCAGAAGTTCAACATTTGTGTGACAAAGATTGCGCCTAACATCGTATCGGCTTCCTTGGCCCTTCACGCTAAGGTATCGCAGGTGTTCCTGCCCACGGCCATCAAATTCCACTACGTCTTCAACCTCAGAGATCTCAGCAACATGTTCCAGGGTCTGCTATTCAGCACCAATGATTGCTTGGGCAGTGCCACGGACATGATCCGTTTGTGGCTCCACGAGACACAGAGAGTGTATGGTGACAAGCTCACGGATGACAAGGATATCGATAGCTTCACGAAGATGCAAACGGACATCGTGAAGAAGTCTTTTGAGGAACTCGATGAGAGCATTGTGTTCGACAAACCGAATATCTTCTGTCACTTTGCTGGTGGCATAGGAGAGCCTAAGTACATGCAAATCCCCGATTGGGGATATCTGACCAAGCTCCTTCAGGAGGCTATGGTATCCTACAACGATCTGGTGGCCGCGATGAATCTGGTTCTCTTTGAAGACGCCATGATGCACGTGTGCCGGATCAATCGCATACTGGAGTCGCCAAGAGGGAGTGCTCTGCTTGTTGGCGTGGGTGGCAGTGGGAAGCAGTCTCTCTCCCGCCTGGCGGCTTTCATATCAAGTTTGGAGGTGGCCCAGATACAGCTGAAGAAGGGCTACGGCGTGCTGGATCTCAAAAACGAACTATCCGGGCTGTATCTCAAGTCAGGAATGAAAAATGTGGGCATAATGTTTCTCATGACGGACGCCCAAGTGCCGAATGAGCAATTTCTGGTACTCATAAACGATATGTTGGCCTCTGGAGAGATCCCAGATCTCTTTCCCGATGACGAGGTGGAGAACATCATCGCGGGTGTCCGGAATGAAGTGAAGGGAGCTGGAATGGTGGACTCCCGCGAGAATTGTTGGAAGTTCTTCATTGATCGCGTCCGGCGGCAACTCAAGGTGGTTCTTTGCTTCTCCCCCGTGGGATCGACGCTACGTGTGCGTTCCCGGAAGTTCCCATCCTTTATCAACTGCACATCCATCAATTGGTTCCATGAATGGCCTCAGGAGGCTCTTGTTTCTGTCTCAATGCGATTCCTGCAGGAGCTGAGTGTCCTCCCGGAGACTTTTATGGACTCCGTGGCCAGATTCATGTCCTACGTCCACACATCCGTCAACACCACGTCCAAAATCTATCTGCAGAATGAGAGACGCTACAACTACACCACTCCCAAGTCCTATCTTGAACAGATCAGTCTGTACTCCAAGCTCCTGAAGCAGAAGCACGCTGAGTTGCAGAGCAAAATTGAGAGGCTAGAGAATGGTCTTGAGAAGTTGAGAACCACAGCGGCTCAAGTGGCGGATCTCAAGCTTAAGCTTGCCGTCCAGGAAGTTGAGCTCAAGGAGAAGAATGATGCTGCCGACGCACTGATTGAGATTGTTGGTGTGGAAACGGAGAAAGTTCAAATTGAAAAGCAAATAGCCGATGAGGAGGAGATGAAAGTGGCCATAATTGCTGAGGAAGTCACCAAGAAACAGAAGGACTGCGAGGAGGACTTGCTGAAAGCAGAACCTGCTCTTATTGCCGCCCAGGAAGCGCTCAATACCCTTAACAAGGCCAATTTGACTGAGTTGAAGTCCTTCGGATCACCGCCAGGAGCTGTGACCAACGTCACGGCGGCTGTAATGGTTCTCCTGGCTCCCAATGGAAAGATACCTAAGGACAGGAGCTGGAAGTCAGCGAAGCTCGTCATGGCGAAAGTCGATGCCTTTCTGGATGCACTCATTCACTATGACAAAGAGAACATTCATCCGGAAATTATCAAGTCCATTCAGCCTTATTTGAAAGATGCCGAGTTTGAACCAGAGTTTGTGCGATCGAAGTCTGCCGCCGCGGCTGGACTTTGTGCGTGGGTGATCAATATCATTAAATTCTACGAGGTTTATTGCGACGTGGAGCCCAAGAGAAAGGCTTTAGCTCAGGCGAATGCCGAACTTGCAGCTGCTCAAGAAAAGTTAGCCATCATCAAGAAGAAAGTTGCTTCACTGGAGGAGCAATTGGCCAAGCTGACGGCAGACTTTGAGCAAGCAACGGCTGAAAAATTACGTTGTCAACAGGAAGCGGATGCCACGCAAGCGACCATTCAGCTGGCAAATCGCTTGGTGGGCGGCCTGGCCAGCGAGAACGTGCGATGGGCAGAAGCTGTGGCGGAATTTATGGCTCAAGGAACTACTCTTCCCGGAGATACTCTCCTGATAACTGCCTTCATTTCCTACGTGGGATGTTTCACGAAGCAATTTCGTCTGGATTTGATGAATAAGATGTGGCTTCCCTACTTGAGAGCCTTAGAACCACCGATTCCCATCACTGAAGGCCTGGATTCGCTGACACTCCTCACGGACGACACAACTGTGGCTATTTGGCACAACGAAGGTCTTCCCAGTGACCGGATGTCCATTGAAAATGCCACCATCCTGTCCAACTCTGACCGCTGGCCCCTGATGATCGACCCCCAACTGCAGGGGGTCAAGTGGATCAAGCAAAAGTATGGGGAGGGCTTGAAGGTGATCAGGATAGGGCAGAAAGGATATCTGGACATTATCGAGAGAGCCCTCGCGAAGGGCAACACAGTGCTGATTGAGAACATCGGGGAGAATTTGGACCCAGTGTTGGATCCTCTCTTGGGGAGAAATTTGATAAAGAAAGGTCAAGCAATTAAGATTGGAGACAAAGAAGTGGAGTACAATTCCAACTTTCGATTGATACTGCATACGAAACTCGCAAATCCTCACTACAAACCTGAGATGCAGGCTCAGACGACACTCATCAACTTCACAGTGACCAGGGATGGGCTTGAGGATCAACTTCTGGCCGAAGTGGTGAAGGCAGAGCGACCGGATTTGGAGGAGTTGAAGGCAGAACTGACAAAACAACAGAATGACTTCAAGATCATGCTGAAGAAGCTTGAGGATGACCTTCTGTCTCGTCTCTCATCAGCTGGAGGGAATTTGTTGGGCGACACGGCTCTTGTGGAGAATCTGGAGACGACAAAGAAGACGGCGGCAGAAATTGAGCGAAAGGTAGCAGAGGCGAAAATAACTTCCCAGGAGATTGACAATGCTCGAGAGCATTACCGTCCAGCAGCAGCACGAGCCAGTTTACTCTACTTCATCCTCAATGATCTCAACACCATCAATCCCATCTACCAATTCTCCCTGAAGGCATTCAGTGTGGTCTTCCAGAAGGCCATCTCCAGAGCAGATCCTGCAGAGGAAGTGGTGGCGAGAGTGAAGAATCTCATTGACTGCATCTCCTATTCGGTGTTCCAGTACACAAGTCGTGGACTCTTTGAATGCGACAAGCTCATCTTTGCCTCACAGATGGCCTTCCAGATACTTCTGATGAGTGAGGAAATTTCCCCGATGGAGTTGGACTTTCTCTTGCGCTTCCCTATAAAGCCACACGTGACGAGTCCTGTGGATTTCCTCTCGAACTCCTCATGGGGAGGAATTTGTAGTCTGGCGTCGAAGGATGAGTTCAGGAATTTGGATAGGGATATTGAGACGTCGTCCAAGAGATGGAAGAAATTTGTGGAGTCTGAGTGTCCGGAGAAGGAGAAATTTCCACAGGAGTGGAAGAACAAGACAGCCCTGCAGAGGCTCTGCATGATGAGAGCTCTCCGGCCGGACAGAATGACATACGCCGTGGCGGACTTTATTGAGGAGAAACTGGGCCCGAAGTACGTTGAGAACCGTACGATGGAATTTGCCAAGTCATATGAAGAGACCAGCCCGTCAACGCCAATCTTCTTCATACTATCGCCAGGAGTGAATCCACTGAAAGACGTGGAGACTCTTGGGCGACAGCTGGGCTACACTACAGACAAGGGGAACTTCCACAATGTCTCTCTTGGTCAGGGACAGGAAGTGGTGGCCGAGGCGGCCATGGATGAGGCTGCCAAGCATGGCCATTGGGTGGTACTGCAGAATATTCATCTGGTGAAGAAGTGGCTGCCGGCTCTGGAGAAGAAGCTAGAGCACTACTCGGAGGGATCACACGAGAATTATCGTGTATTTATGAGTGCAGAGCCGGCAGCCACTGCGTCGGCCCACATAATCCCTCAGGGCATCCTCGAGTCTTCCATCAAGATTACCAACGAACCACCGACAGGAATGATGGCGAATCTTCACAAGGCGCTGGACAACTTCACGCAGGAGACGCTGGAGATGTGTGGCAAGGAGGCGGAATTCAAGGTGATTCTCTTCGCGCTGTGCTACTTCCATGCCGTGGTGGCGCAGAGGAGAAAGTTTGGTCCAGCTGGATGGAATAAGATCTATCCATTCAACGTTGGTAAGCATTGCGGGATTTGCCGCTCATGAGATTCCTGGGCTAATTGGATTGTGTTTGCAGGTGATCTCAACATTAGTGTGAGCGTTCTTTACAACTACTTGGAAGCCAACTCGAAGGTTCCCTGGGAGGATTTGAGGTATCTCTTCGGCGAAATCATGTACGGTGGTCACATCACAGACGACTGGGACAGGAGGCTCTGCATCACGTATCTGGAGGAGTACATGCAACCCGATCTGGTAGGTTGAAACATCTTTCTTAATCCAGACAGAAGGGAAAAGGAAGAGTTCAACTTACAGGTGGACGGAGAGTTGTTCCTCGCCCCTGGATTTCCTGCGCCGCCCAACACTGACTACTCGGGCTATCACAACTACATTGATGAGACAATGCCGCCAGAATCGCCCTACTTGTACGGTTTGCATCCAAACGCCGAGATTGGTTTCCTCACCACCACCTCGGAGAATCTCTTCAGGACGGTCTTTGAGATGCAACCACGTGATGCGGGCGCTTCTGGTGGGACCACCGTCACACGTGAGGACAAAGTGAAGCAGATTCTGGATGAGATCATGGAGAAGTTGCCGGAGGAGTTCAACATGACGGAGATTATGGGGAAGGTGGAGGAGAGGACGCCCTACGTCATTGTGGCCTTCCAGGAGTGCGAAAGGATGAATTATTTGACCAATGAGATCAAGAGAAGCCTCAAGGAATTGGATTTGGGGCTAAAGGTGCGTTAATTTCAAATTGATGGCCTTTTTGCGGGAATCACGGCGTAAAATATTGTATTCATACGCAATGGGTGCCACGTTTTTACACACAAAACTCATGATTTTGAGGAGGTAAACTCACCAGAAACACTCCTGGGCACCCCAAAAAATTGGTCCAGGGAAGAGAAAAGTGGTAAAAAGATGGTGGTATGATTGTATCGGTCGGGCTGGCGCTGGGAGTTCACTCCGGGACGCGATCCCACTACTGCTGGCCACGGGGACTTTTGGCTGCTGGTTTTCACACCTCTGGCCCGGTGCGCCCCTCCTTAGCCAACCTGAACGCCTCGGCCTCCGCCGTGGCGCCCATATTGATGGCCAGCTTAGTGCGGACGTCCCGTCAACGTGACCCGACCAACGCACAGGACCCCCGACCTCAAATCAATCCACAATCCAACCTCCGAGAAGCACGGATTACAAGAGCTGCCAAACCCTCGGTTGAGAGTCACGAAGTGAATCGCCCTCTTCAGCTGCGCATGAGCTCAGCTGGGCTCCGGGAGATGGCGCTAGCCGAGGGGCGGGCAATTGGCACATGGATGGTATATATTCTTGCCTTTCAATTTCAGGGCGAGCTGACCATCACGTCGGATATGGAGGAGCTGGAGAACGCCCTGTTCCTCGACCAGGTACCCATGATTTGGGCCGTGAGGGCGTACCCGTCCCTCCTGGGCCTTACGTCGTGGTTCGTGGATCTCCTGCTGCGTCTCCGTGAACTGGAGACGTGGTCAACTGATTTCGTGGTGAGATAACTCATTGTGTGACTTCCAGAAGTTATCATATGTTCTAATGCGGTGCCGCAATAGTTGCCAGCCTGCGTATGGCTAGCTGGCTTCTTCAATCCACAGAGTCTTCTCACAGCTATTATGCAAAGTACGGCGCGTAAGAATGAATTGCCACTGGATAAAATGTGTCTGGTATGTGATGTGACGAAGAAGCAAAAGGAAGATTTCACGTGAGTACCAAATTGGAGGACTGGCATTGCTCAATGTCCCGCGCTTTCCGGCCACACTTGAATATGTATTTTTGGCGGGCTTTCATGATTTTTTTTTGGTGGTCACGGAAATTGGCCGGGACTTGAGCATACCATTGATGTCTCTGACTTTTTTGCTGCTTTTCCGGCTTATGTGTCGTGCGTGAATGTGTGCATGTGAAATATCTATGAATTAAACTTTAACAATAAAGTAAAAACTGTAGAGCCGCACCGCGAGAAGGTGCCTACGTGCACGGGATCTTCATGGAGGGCGCGCGCTGGGACGTGCAGCAGGGCATCATCATGGAGTCCCGCCTCAAGGAGCTGCATCCGCCCCTGCCGGTGATTAACATTCGGGTAATTGGGCAATGACCATAGCAAGTCACTTCCAGTCTCCCTACTCACCTCGCTCTGTCGCTCTCTAGGCCATCACGCAGGACAAGCAGGACCTGAGGAACATGTACGAGTGCCCAGTGTACAAGACGCGGACCCGAGGACCCACGTACGTGTGGACATTCAATCTGAAGACGAAGGACAAGCCCGCCAAGTGGACTTTGGCTGGCGTTGCACTCCTTCTGCAAGTCTAAAGTGGAAATCTTGATGGCGCCAAGAGTCATCAACGCTATTATTACATGTTAATTGGCGCCAAGCACGCCACAAAAGAGCTTTCAGCGTAAACTTTTCATTCAAATGATTATCTATTGACACTATCTGGCTGGCAAAAAAGCGCAATACTACAGAGATGAAAACAATCTTGAATCACTTCGCGATTGTTTGTGAATCTCGTGGAAGAGTTTGTATGTAATTAAGACGAGATGAGGAGGAAAAAAATGTGATTCACGCTTTTGTGAATTAATTTGCACACACGCAGCATAATTGTTAATCAATTTCCTGACACAGTGTTGTAAAATGCTATTTTTGTGATCAAATAGAGATGGAAAAAACCGATAAAGAGCGTCTCGAGAGTTCAAGAAGGCAGGAGTTCAAGTGATTTTCATATTAGAGGATGTTTTATTCATTTTTTCCTTAGTATTTCATTTTTTGTTGACTCTTTTTTTTTCTTTAGTATAATTTATTCTTGCAAGACCTTCGCCATGAGTGGCGCCTCGTGCATCTCATGTTTGGAGTCTTTTCGGTGTCTTGAGAGATGCTGAAGAGGCACTCTGTACTCCGGTTCCTCTCCATATGAGAGGAGTTTGTTGTATCATGAATTTGATGAATAATTCCCGAGAGTGCGCACATGCCAGCAGGAGCTGGGAAATTTTCAACACAATTTGCAATTGTCGTTGGTGTTTGAATTGATCAAGGAGTCCTAAAATGCACATATCAAATGAGATACATTCCCGAGAAGAGATTGATTTATGCAAATTGAGAAGTCGCGCTCCTCTGTACATACAATGTGACGTAATGTATCGCGAAATTGCTGCAGTTGTATGGTTTTAGTGGGGATTGAATGTGGCCCTAAACGGTGCCATGGAGCGTCCCAGAAATTCGCCTGTCCCTTTCTTGAGGTCATTCTTCGCACATTCCTTTGGCGGATGTGCGTGAATTTTAGGCGATCGCGAAGAGGAGAGCCAAAACTCTGACGATAATGACGCAAATATTGGCAGGCAGCGGCTCTTTGCCGCCACGATAATGCTTCCACGGAAAGCAATATCCACAGCTCAGTGTTGTCTATCAAATATAAGTAGACGAGTCGGTCGTGTCTCAAGAGTCAGTGAGCTTCCGAGAGCCCGTGAGACAACAGTCCAGCCAAGGTGGGGATCATTCTGTGGAGACTTTCCCAAGTGCCTCAAGTGCCGCCAAGAGAGACAAAAAGTAATATTCTAAGCAATTCTCTTTTCGGTGAAGTGGATGCTGTGCGAGATCAAGTGATCGCGAGGGGTGAATAGCGAGGTGTGGTGAAGAGGAAACACGGACGGACAAAACGATCAATTTGGGAGGATCACTTGGATCGGCTTGCCGAGAAGAGAAGCGTGTGGATTTTTTATCGATCGACGCAGACAGCAGAACAGCGCACATCACAAGAGAGGCCCGCGATCCGTCCAGCCAAGAGGATCACTTGCCATCGTATAAAAGTGATTGAGGTGGAGCACGGAGGATCAGTTGTATTGTGAGCGAGTGCGAAGAAGGGTGGATCAATCATGAAGTTTCTACTGTGCCTTGTTCGTAAGTAGAGATGCATTTGTGGGATTTTCCTGGATGTTATCACACACAAAGGGCACCAGTTTCGCGTGAATCATTTGAAAGTGACACTGAGCGGAAATTGAAGAAATTATTGGAATATTCCAGTTCAATAGGCGAATGGACTGGAGATAAGCTATAGTGTCGTCATATACTGAAGTCTTCCTGGAGGAATCTTTGTCTCCTGATCCACTCAGAGGCTCAATTCATCGGCAATTGTGCACTTCTGCCCCAGATTTGCTCACTCCCTTATCATGCGAGAACATTTTCCCGCTCTCTTTGTCATTCATAGAAAGTAATCGGAGTGTTTTAGACTCAATGAGACAGAGACAGAGAGAGAGAGAGAAGCAGAAGTGGTAATTGAGCAGCTCCATTTGTGTTGATAATGGTGGAAAATGTTGAAAAATACGCAGTGATTCTTCGTTAATTGATTGATGTCTCTATCTCGGCAGTTATTGGCGTTGCTGTGACCACACTGGTGGAGGCTAATGAGTCACTGGGATGCCAGACACTCTGTCCTCTCAGCTATGCGCCGATCTGTGCCACGGATGACTCTGGAAATACCCAGACATTTCCCAACGAGTGCGCCCTCAAGACAGAGAACTGTCTCAAGAAGACAAGTATTGTGTGCTTAAAGTGCTCTTGCCCAATCAATCTATAACACTCTGTCTCCCTTTGCAGACTTCCAGAAGACCGCCGACGGACCCTGTCCCTAGGCTTGGGCCACAGCCATCCCGGAGAGCAGCATTGCGACAAGTGTGAGTGTTTTTTGTGCGTGTCCAGCGCGTGAACATCTTCCTGATTCATCACGGAAACCTTAAACTTTGCCGCATGCTCGTGTGATGAGTTTTTCCGGCTGCCTCGAGAAAAAAAGCCCCCCGGACGGACAAGTAAAAAACAAGGAAAATGCTCGCCTCTAATGGAGAATCTCTGAAGATGTTGAGAAATATGTTTTGAATTTGTTAGAAATAATAAGAACGTGATTTGTATTCTGATGTCATGATCCAAATATACTTAATGTGAATAATCAATGAAAATTATTATCACTACTATGAGCGGAATGTAGATTGAGACGCTGTTCCCCTTCCTCCATTTCTCAGTTTGTGAGTGATGATGCTAGTTATTTGTCTTATCAACACTCGTGGACTCCCGCTGGAAGAGTGACGCTGAGAAATTCACTGGAAATATGCATGCGAAGAGAAAACGGTGAAAAATTATCTCTAACAAGAATTGCAGAAATTTGTTGCCATGATTGTTAATACCGTTTTATGGACACTTCATTTTATCAGCATATGCTTAATTTTCACACTTTTCTCTCCTCACATATCGTGTGTTGTTTCTACGAAGGAGAATTATCGCGTTGGTGTGAATTTGGTGCAGATGAATTTGAGAAAAACAACCGCCAACTGAATAAGCCTGAAAGTCGGCAAAACTGAGTCTTCTAGCAATTTTGAAAGCAATACGATTTCAACGACTTCAATCCGTCTCGCGATCTATAAAATAATTTCTAGACCAATTAAAAAATCCTACTTATAACTTGTATATTCCTGGGAAACCCGTGAATAAGTTCAACAATCCTTTCTTCGAGAAGAAAAAACAAAGCGATTGTATTTTGTTGAAATGTGTCTGTTTATGCCATTTCTCTTCTCTTTTACTAAGAAATTGGCGCGTCCAAGTGATTAGCTATCCGATCACCCGCAAAAGAAAATTGTCACATTTCACTGATCGCGAGATCATTCACCGCACCAGAAAAATTCCAAAGTGAGATCATGCTCTTTGTGGTGACTTTGCCGTGTTGCATAACACTTTGTAACATTGACGGAAGGAATTATGTTTATGTGGTGCATTATTGAATTGTTCCACTGATTAAGATGGTAAAAAGACTTTGACCAGCTTTTTCTTCCTCCACACATACGCCGCCTTTCAACACTCTCAATTGATTTTATAGGCCCCCTTTTTTTGGTTTTTCACGACTTTTTTTTGTCTTCTGTTTATTCTTCCATCAGATTCTTTCTCTGTTTCCGATTACATTTTGTCACGGTCGGGGCACTAATGAGCCATGCTACAAGTGGGGATCGATAATAAATTACAGGGATGATATGGAGATGTGGAGGATGAGTTGTTTGCAGTGGATTTAGTGGTAGTGCTTCTCGTCGAAGCCGTGATGTTCATCTCCGTCTTTGCCGTGCTTCTTGTAGTACTCCTCGCCGTCGTGATGATGGGCCTCGTGGTCGTGCTTCTTGTCGTATCCCTGATCGTCGATGTCATGGTATCCCTTGTCGAAGTGTCCCTTCTTGCCCTTGTGCCCCTCGTGATTGGCGGAGTCGTAGTGGCCGCCCTTGCCGTACTTTGAGGCTCCCTTGTGGTGGTGCTGATGGTCAGAACCGTACTTCTTGAAGTTGCCCTTGTGATCGGCATCGTCATAGAACGTGTGATCCTTCTTGAATTCATCCTTGTGGAAGACATTGTGATATCCTGTGGTCTTTGAGCCCTTCTTGTGGTGCTTCTTCTCGCCAAACTTCCCACCCTTGCTTGAGTGAGCGCCCTCGTGATGCTGTCCATATTCATCTCCCTCATCGTAGTAGGACTTCTTGTGGCCGCCATCCTCGTCGTAGTGGCCAGAGTGATCCTCCTTGTCGTAGTGACCCTTTGAGCCCTTCTCGAACTTATTCTCGGTGTCGTACGCCTTCTTTCCCTCATGGCCGTGCTTCTTGTGATACTCCTCGCCGTATTCTGAGCCATCTCCCTCAGAGTGATCATGATTATAGTGGTGATGATCATCGCCATCGCTGTAGCGCTCGCTGAAGTGTCCTCCGGTGGCGTCGAAATCTCCACCGTCCACGTCTCCTCCATCGTAGTGATAATCTCCTCCGGTCGACACGTATGAGGCTAGTGGAGGTCCAGCATCGGCTTCGAGAGTGTAGGCCGCTGAAGGCTGGCTGTTGTAGTAGAGATTCGCCACTGTGGCAGCCGAACTGGGCACAAACTGACTCGGATAGCCGCCAGAGTGGGTGACAACGTAGGAGTGCGTGCCGTACTGATCACCATCCTGGATCAGGGGCAGATGTGATGGCGCTGAGGACTTGAAGTGGGCCGCCACGGCGTCTGAGTCCAGATAGACAAACTGCGCGGGATTGGAGCCGTACTTGCTGTAAATATATCCAGTGGCACTTGTGTCCTGATCCATGGATGATCGCTTCATGTACATCTTCTTGTTGTAGTTGGTCTCGCCGGAGGCGCACGCGAGGGTGACAAGGAGGAGAATTGTGCAAGATATCCGCTCCATGATGATGATCAGAAGATCACGCTAATGTCAAACAGTCCTATCACCAGTCACCACTCGGAATCTTCAAACAAACTCCTTCTTCTTCTGAACACACTCAAGCACTGACTGACTCCCTATCGCCGCGCTCTGGCACTTTATATTCAGCGCCGCTGGCCGCAAAAAGAGATCTCTGCTGGTGCCATTGGAGTTTTCCTTCTCCCTCCGCGAAAGAGTGCGCCGGAAAGAGAGTAGGCATGAAAAACCAGTGGTTTTTCTCCTGCCATTATGCCATCGATCTCTTGGACTTTTCCACACCATTGGCCGCTCTGTGACCACGAAGAACCACGTTAGGAGGCTCTTTTTACTTCCCCAAGCCATACTCTGGCCTCCAAGAATCGCCTTGGGGGTCATTCTTGCAATTGTCACCCTGATGGAGCGCCAATGGCCCAAATTATCGCCTCTCCGCATCACCTTCACGCCGCCGATCCGATGAATTTTGGCCATTTGACGCCTTTGACCCGAATTGGCCCCTGCCCAGAGTCTTTCCCACCGTCCGGTTGCCCAATGGCACACTTCTGGCTCTTTTTGTCCTCCGACTGTTTGGGGAAGTTAATTGAATTGTCGCAATGCTGGGACGACAAAGAATTTCTGCAAGATTCAACTTCATACTTGATTTGCACTGCCTTTCAAGAGATTTCCGTCTGAACTCTTATTTCTCAATTGGATGTTCCGCTCAAGTCTTAACCCTAAACCAGGAATGAAATTGAAAAATTGCAATTGATCTTTTATACACACCATTCAAATTTATTGTCCGACAATCGTGTGAGGATCACATTTCTAGAATAAAACTAATTAGAGAACCGATTGTGTATTAATAGAAAGAAAAAAAAGACCTTTTTGTCTGATCATACAAATGTCTTGATGTATTTCTCACGTGTAATTTTCACTTAAAATGAACAGTGTACAATTTGTATATCGTCTCTCCAACATACATTATTTACAATATTTACAGTAATCTCTCCAAATTCCTCAATCCGCACGATTACTCTATAAATTACACTTTTGCCTCGTGGACAAACGTTCGTCGCAATTTCCTTTTTGTACAGAATTTTGGCTTCATTCTTCTCACTTTTCTCATGTCTTTCAACTCACCAACAAAAAAAACGACATTTAAGTATATTTTTACGCTTCATTTTTACCATTTTGCAGTCGAATGTCTTTTTCTTCTTCTTTTTTATTGTTTAGTCTTCTCAGCCTTTCTTTTCCCTCAATTGCCCCGAAATGCGAAGAAAATTTGAATTACGTGAATTGGAGAAAGTGATTCTTCATATAATTGGCAAAATTCATTGATCTCCTTTTGCCACAAAACGGTTGCTCGTTTGACGGTTCCTTTGTGTCGATCGGCGTTCTGGTTTGTTTCGCAATAAAGGCAAAAAAAGAAGCTTCTTTGATACTGATAGGCAGTCATGCATGAAGTCAAATGATCCAGTGAGGATTGATTTTTATTTTAATCATTAGCCAAAATAGTATATTTTCATAGTTAATCTTGCAGTGCTCTTTATCAGACACTTCACATCATGTGTCAGAGTAGAAATTTATTGAAATGGAATTCCCTGTAATGGCATTTCTGTAGGCAAGTCAATTGGAATGTACTTGAGTACTGCAAGAGTCACTAATTCAATTAATTGATTAATTAAAGTAACAGCTAACTAAATAACACTTTAGTTAAGCCCTTTTTCAGTTAAAGTATACAAAAAAAACAGCTTGATTTTATTAGTCCTCAAGTGACTGGGTTTTTTTTTAAACGCATCCTTGCAGCAACACAAAAATCACAAGTCTTACAAACTACATTAGATATTCACCTAGTTGACAAAAAAGGCACAAAATTGAGGGATATTTTCTATATATTATCATTATGAAGAGTTAAGTTAGGGAATAAACTCGGATGATCAATGTGATGCCTGCGCAGTATTTTGCGTTCTTCGATACAATCCAATGTCGTAAATGGAGTATATACTGGGAGAGGAATTAAATAAACACCATTATTCTCTATTTAATTGAAACAGAGGTGATGAAAAAAAATCAATGAAACCATAAAAGACAATTAGAATGAAGTGAACCGAAATGACTCAATTCTACCGTGAGGAAAAGAGAGAAGTTTTGGAGACAAGTAAACCCAAATATTAGTTGTTGCCAAAGAAAGCCCTACAAAAGAGATACTTACAAATCACGCAGCGTGGTAAATTTGATTCAAACCATACGATGGATAGGATCGCAAGCTATTCAGGAGTTGTTCGAACACAAGTTGTTTGTTAGGTGTGTATTTTTTTGTCAATCCGCAAATAAATGCAAATGACCCAAATTGTTAGTTGAGTTTTCATGTTGTTTTGAATGTGCGTTAGAAAAGAGAGAGAGAGAAAAAAACGTGTCATTGTTAGTGGGAGAGAGAGATTATTTAATCACCAGCAACAGCATAATTATATAAAAGCCAAAAAGCTTGCAAAAATCATCTTTTCTGCGCGAATGGCAAGCGAAACAGAAATGTCTCAAAGCACTGAACTGCTCAATAAAAAAAAAGATAGCGGCAAAGGAGAGAATGGAACTGTAAGAGAACAAAAAAATCGTCGCAAATTTTCTCCCAATTAGTCATTGGTCTATTTAGAGTATTCCTACACACTTTCCACTATTCCACTGGTATTTACGATCTATCTAGTCTATTGAGGTTAAAGAACTTGATAGAGTTTTAGCTTGAAGGAGCAAGCAAGTATCATTTCTTCAATATCTGCCATCAGAAATGATTGCTGTTGTACTGAAAACAACAAATAAAGTTCATTTTATCTCAGTTGCATTATGCAAAAATAGAAGAATATACATTTCATAAGCCACAGTTTGTTAGCAAACTCCGATCCAATTGAGGCGTCCAATTTTAGCCCACATTTGACCCCCCAAGAATTTTTTGTCTTACAAAAGTTAGTAAACTTACATGCATTAGGCGGAAATTTTATTGCCAAGAACTGTCGAAAAAATCACCAGTTTATAATTGCGGTAAAAATATAAAATTGAAAGAAACCTTGATAAATACTTTATAACATATAAGTAATACTTAATAGTTGCACTGTAATCTCTCGCAGAGGTTTTTGGATTAGATAACACAATGTTAGAAGCGACTTTATGTGCATGTGAGATGCTTTAGGAAGCCGCAGATTAACTTCATCTTCCAAAGAGTGCGGGAAGCGTGCAGTAGAAGCGATAGATGGTGTGATAAAGAAGCATTCAAGGCAATGCGGCGGCTCTTCGAGGGAAGGGCGCATAGGGAAAGGCACGACGCTTACCTTGCATACGTGTTCCGATGGGGTCCAAAGCCCAAATTATTGCTCGTATGCGTCACATACTTCTGAACCAGCTGAAACAACAATGTGTGGATTCATTGAGAATGCATGGAAATGATATATGATTGCTTCAAGAGTCTCACCGGCATTTCTGCAAGTCGTTCACTTCCCATATTGACAGCCATGTGAATAACAAGGTAGATGTTGAAGCAAATATATGCAATGCCAAATAAGACTGGAAAGAAGGAGAAGAGATTATCAGTCTAGTGAGCGAGAATGGCATGAATTTGAATAGATCATCATACCAATAAGTACCATCCAGCCAGTATGCAGATTGGAATGGTTGACTTGATCAATCACGAAGAATATGTTGATGGCAATGACTAGAATACTCAGCAGAATGGACACGATTTTGTTGCCACTGGAAGAAAAAAAAACAGAGAGAGAAAAGACATTAAAAAAGTGCCATTGTTGAAGAGATTCACACTCACATTCCGTTGACAAACTCCCCCATGATGTTGGGATTGGACGTGAAGGCAATGGTTGGGATCGTGGCAAAGGGCAGCTGCAGTGCCATCACAGCATTCAGGATGTCATTCATTCCCGTCAAATCCTCGATGCGACTGAAGAAGGCCACACAGAATGTCGGCACGATGGCGATGAAACGCGTGACGAGCACTCGCTTCCATCTCGCCCACTGCAAATTCAGGAATCCCTCCATCACAAACTGCCCAGCATAGGTGCCAGTCATCGTTGAGCTCTGTCCCGCGGCCAGGATGCCCACGGCCCAGATGTACATGGCGGCGATGCCGAAGGTGCAGCCCAAGAACAAGCCACCCTTGTACAAATCCGCATCCACATACTCATTATCCGTTGGGAAAACCGATGAGATGTCTGGAAAAACGGTAGAATTCTGGCATGTCTCCAGCTGAAACAGATATGAAATTTGATATGAGAAATGTACTCCCCAAGCATGTCGGATTGACAATCTCTCACTCACCACATCGTTATTTGTCTTTCCATACAGTCCATGAGCAAAAACCGCCACAACAAATACGTTGATAATGAACGAGACAAATAATGCGACACAAGCCTCAATGAAAAAGTAGAAATTCGCCTCGCGAACATTAGAAGATTTGCGTCTGTCCACATCCCTGGACTGCAAGGAGAAAAAAGAAGTGTCACAGATTGAAAGGATCTTCGCACAATGGCCAAGAATCACCTTGACTAGAGCCGAGTGAAGATAGAGATTGTGCGGCATAATTACAGCCCCCACAATTCCAACCGCCTGAAGCAGGGTGCGCGAGTCACAGCCTTCGCACCACGGCACGAACATGCCCTTCAGCACATCCCCTTGCGGGGGCGCCGAGACAATGTACTGCAAGTAGAAAAAGGCAGTTTGATCAGATAAAACAGAAGAGATCAAATGCTGTCGTGAGCACATTTTCATACAATTGTCTATACATGCATCTGAGGAAAAGAAACTTCGTTAGTATAACAATCTCGTGAACACAACAGCTGCCGTATGGTGACCTTCTCTCTGATTACACACTATCGCCTCATAACATTTCCATACACAATTATTATCTGCCCAGATTTCCCATCAATTGGGGGGATCGGTTAAGAATTCTGCTTTGCAAACAATTAGGAAAACCAGTTAAACCAAGAGTGCAAACATCAAATTCCTTTCGCCAAAGCGCAGATAGATCAGAAAACTTTCCATACAACTTCTTCTATTTTTGTTAAGAAGGCAAATTGTACGTGAAAAATTCTGATAAACACGTTTCTCATGACTCAGCTTTGTCATCTCGTGGTTTTTCCTTTCATTCGCTTACCATTTCGTGCATAATAAATGCAATTGTAATTAAATTTACGACCAACACAGTGCCTTGATGTAGTGGTTTCATCCACAGACTATTTAAAGTATTCATTTCATATTCACGTATTATTATAAATATGAAATGCTTGTTTATTTTGGTTGTTCCCCAAGATTTTTGCATTGTATTCTCTCTCAGGAATTTCAATGATTAGTGAATTGAATCAAGAAATTATATTTCCTTTGGCGATATTCACATTTAGAAACAAAGAAAAGACGATAGAGAAAAATCCCCCATAGTTAGCGATAATTACCTCATATCCAAATGTTACAGCCATGACAGTGATAAGCAGCCCGAAGAGGAATTCCAGCTTCCTCAGGCCATACTTGTCCAGAAAGAGAAAGGTGAAGGTATCCAGGATAGTGATAAGTGTTCCAGCCCACAGAGGAATCCTGCCGTAAGGAAATCAAGCAACATTAGAACATTTCTCTTGCACAACTTCGCCAGCATACTCACACTTTATTCGATAAGAGAAAAATGGCAATAGCTGTTCCTATCACCTCCTGAATATCACTGCCAATAATTGCTGAATTGCACCAGACGAGATCAATGAACGATTGAGAAATGAGTGGAAAATAAGCAATTTAACTCACCGGTCTCCACCATAAGCCAGAGAACTATTCTGGGTGCCCGCTTGTATTGTCTGTAGCACATTTCAGCCAAATGATGCCCTGTGACGACTCCCAATCTGTGTATGCAATGAAAACAGGGGCAATAAAGACATTTTGCAATGCCAATAATTACGCAAAGGAATGCTGGACAATAAATCCAATACCTTGCGGACAGTCGTTGCATGACTAAACCTAGAATTGTGGCACTTAGAAGGACCCACAGCAATCTATATTGAGCCACTACGCCGCTCTGCAAGTCCGACTCGATGTTTCCTGCAAGATAAAGTGATTTACTTTATCAGTCAATATAAGGATTAACTAATTAACTAGTGTGTGTGATAAAAATTGTATAAGAATTGTGAATGGAGTAATTGTGTTAACACAGAGATTTGGCAAGAAACTTGATAAATATGTGATCATAAAGTGAGATTTATCACTTTGGGGAGGAGATCACGTTAATGAACACACGATTCCAGTCTTGTTTACATTCAGCTGTTTTTCGCCTCGTACGCAAAACATGTACAGAAGAGGCACATATTATTAAATAGAGATAATTGAATATACTTGAAGGTATGTGATATCAGGCAGAAAAGGCCGCTGAACTTTAAACTTGAACCTACAATGAATGTGACACACCCGAAAATCGGGCTCAATTTTTGCAAAATACTCTAATCAAGGGAAAATATTCAAATTTACGCATTGAGACAAAAGTATCTACTTGAGCCAAAAAGGTGGTAAATGGCCATTCATTAGGACTTTACGTAACATTCGCGATGTGGATGAGACCAGAAAAAGTTAATTGTTCAAAAGCATGATTGATGTAATGAAGCTGTCCTGCCTTGAAATGAACACATTTTTGACTGATATTTTCCATTTTTCCATTGATAAGTCATACTAAAATGCGTTGGAAAAGCGGAAGTTGCTTCCTATTTATGCTTTTGTGGAGGTTTCAACAACCATTCAACTCCACAAAGACTTGAATTCGCTATTGCGATACTTCCACCAGCCACAAATCAGGGCTTTTCTCATCTTAATCGTTTTCTTATCGTCTCTCCCAATCATTCGCTGTTAATGGCAAAACTCTTGACATGATCTTATTCGCAGAAATTTCTTTTTGATAAGATTGCAATTAAGACATCACCTGGATCGAGATATGCGATGGACATGAGGAATCCTGGTCCCGTGAAGGCCCACAACTTGCGAAAGCTGAAGCCATCCTGCAAGACAAAGAGGCAATTTGTGTGAGAAAGTCTTATCAGCTAATTAGAGACAACTTTATCGCCACTGAATCTCCCCCTTTTCCGCGCGCATCAGACATTTTTCGGTGGAGAATAAAGCAAACTGATCTGACATCAACACGAAATGTTTCAATAAGATTTGAATTGGGTGGGCAAAAGTGAGGAATTGACTCCAGATAATCGCTTATCAGTTGCTCTCTTGGCAAAAACGCCTGAACTGATAGCAGAAGGAGAGAGATTCAATGGTATTGCTGGCGTAATCACCTTCTCAATTTGCGGGATGAGCACTTTCTCATCGGAGAAGTACGTTTGGATGCCGGACAGGAGAGTGCCCTCGTCCGGAGGCTCCGAGTCCTGATGGCTCTGGTGGCTCCTCTTCGGCTCTATGATGTCCACCTCCTTGTCATCCTCATATCCCCGGTTCACCGACATTCCTGGAGCGACAAGACAAGACACCCAAATTAGACTTCTAATGACTCTCAATTGCACTTCCCGCCAATTTCTTCCCATGCAAACCGCGAAGGCGCACAATTCACAGCCAATCGGACTGCAGTGATGCCTCAGTTTCAGAGCGGAGCGCTCATTTGGAGATTTACTGGCCAGTGTGGCTGAGCTGACTGCCTCTAGTCTGCAATTTGCACGATCCATTTTCCCTCGGGGGAGTTTTATTGCGACAACTATTTGTCTCCATTATTTACTCAACTTCTATCTTTGCAAATAAACACGCGTCTTGTGGACTCTCCTCCCCGCCACTCTGGTTACGTGGAATTAAGAGGCTCCGGGTGAATCCCCACTTGGAGGCGCGTGAATGATCATTTTCATTGCCGTACGGTGCATTTTCTAGCGTGAATTCATTACGAAGCGGGTCAGGTAGCATCTCAGACACTGTCCATGAACCCCTCCACCCAGACAACGGCCAGCAGCTGGAACATTTTCTCCCGCTCAGACGCTCATCGTCTCTCCGGAGTGTTTTTGAAAGTGCACAGAGGAGAAAAAACTGCCCATTTCTTCATCCGTGCGCTCTTTTTGTCCAACAAACAAATTGCTGTGACATTTGCATGAGATCCACAAGCTGACTCCAAGCAATCCCACAGAGCATCTCTCACACGGTGACACTGAATCCAATGCCAGTGGTTTTCGGACAAAAGTGCTGCGCTGAGAAATGCCCTCACCTGATGTGCCTGAAGCAGGTAATCCGACAGAAAAGTCCTCCTTGTCACTGCACTGTTTTGATGCGCTTCTCAGCTGTTTTCACGCACAACACTGTCACCACAGTCAGTGCCTAGTCACTGCCACATGCACTTCCGACCGATTTCCAGCGCTGCACCATGAAAAATGCCAGTAAATTGCTGAAATTAGCGGAGAAAGATGAGGTGCTTTTTATATGGCAATGGCCACCCCCTCCACGTAACATCTGACTCTGACAGCCCGACCGAGCGCGTCCACAATCGCCACGCGTTGACCTTCGTGTCGCTGTGCTAAACGCAATCCAACGAAAGAATGTGCGCTTCTGCAGGACGCATTTGATGTTTCTGCCTCAGAAATGATGATCTTAATCTCCTCAGTGGCAAGCAATTGCACATTTTGAGGAAAATGTCGTCTGATACATTTTCTCGAGACTCTTGCGTACTGCTGACGTGCGACAAACGCAGGCAAACGTGAAACTACAGCCGGGATGAAACCTTTCAATGTCGACACTTTTCAATTCCTTGCTTATCAGCGAATTTCCCCGCAAAATTAAATTTTCCCGGCGCAAAAAGAAAACACACCTTCGAGGAGTCCACGTAATACTTATCACACACCTGTATTCTATCCCATCAATCACGTACAGGGAGATAAATAACTCTCATTCTTCAGTTAAACGTTATCTCAATAGTTTTTTTTTATTAATTCTCAGTGATTTTTTTTTCCACATAAAAAGAAGTACAATTGCTCACTGGACTCAAAGAGTCACATGCCCTCAAATAAAAGACAATCTATTTTGTGAAATACATTAAAATAATACATAAAAAGTCATACGCGACCGTCGAAAATGTTCATTTTCGAGTCTAATGCGATAAAACTGGAAAGTAAAAATGCTTAAATGTGGGCTTTCCCACCCAAAATCCCACTAAAATTCATTGTGATAACAAGAAAATCACTCTTTTGTTCGAATTTGGCGGTCAGGAGTGTCCTCCGATGGGCTCATTATTGCTGCAATTGCACATAATTGGCCGGGAAGAGGCCGTATCGGTTCTTGCACAGACCTCTCCACCATCCCTCGTCGATCTGCAGAGGAAAAGAAGAATGCAATTCAGTCATGTTTAGAGCCACATTTCTGCCCACTCACCATCTCGATGTGTGTTATGAGGTCCTCGGGATCGAAGGAAATCTCGTCCTCGGCCGCTGCTTGATAGTCATAGAGAGCTACAGCCTTCACGCCAGTGTCCTCGATGTAATCAGCCAGGTTCTGATAAATCGTCTCCTCGGGGACTTCCTGGCTGCTCGTGACCACTTGGGGCGCCTCCTCCTGCACTGGATCACTGGCGAAGCTCGCCGGCGGATCGATCCTGTCGTTCTCAGGTATGATATCAGGCTGTACAGACGCCACGCGAGGCTCAGCCTGCACCTCTTCGTGAATCTCAGGTTTCTCCTGAATAACAATGCACACAAAAGATCATGAATATATCTTGAAAATTTCCATTTCATCAGTGTTCAGTGCTCTTGTTTGCTCTCTCTTTCGCATTGCAATAAAATGTCTTGAATGAATCACTCTCTGAGCTCACTGATAAAGCATCTAATAAAGCAACGGAGCGACGAAAACGGAAGACGTGTTTCCAAGAACGCGATAAAATTACTGTAAACTCCAAGTAATTTAATCAAGAGCTCCAATTTAGTCTCAAGCTGTGAGAAAAATAGACACTTTCCACTTTCTGACCGAAATTTGGTAATCGTAACAGTGAAATTGAGCATTCTCACCTCTTCCGGAGCCGCTCTTGGAATGGAAATGGGCTGCTTTCGCTCCTGCGGAGTCTCCTGTGGTGGAGCCGCATTGAAGGCGCTGATGGCACTGCCCACGCCTTCAGCCCTTCCCGTCATGATTGCAGACTTTCTCTGAGGCTTCTGATCGTCCTGAGCGGCGCCCTCGCTCTCAAACACCTGCCTCTTCGCTGCCTCCTCTCTGTCGCGCTTATCCTTCTCCTCGCGCAGCTTCTTCTGCTCCGCCGCCTTCTCAGCAGCCTCCTCCTCCGTCTGCTTGGCCAGGTTCTCAAACTTCGCCCGCAAGCTCGACGGTTTCGCGCCGCCAATGTCCGGCTTCACCTTTGTGTAGTTTGTGCCCACTTTGTCGCTCTCCCCGAAGCCCACAGCGGACTTATCCATCCTGTCCTGCTGCACGCCAAACTGCCCACCGAAGCCCTTCTTGTGATCCAGCTGGCTCTCGTGTTTCTGCGGCTTCTCCACGTGATCCCACCCGAGCGCCGACTTGTCCTGCCGATCATCCTGCACCCCGAATTTGCCACCGAAGCCGCGACTGTAGTCCTTTTGGGATTCGTGCTTCTCCACTTTCTCCACATGATCCCAGCCCACGGCACTCTTGTCCACCCTGTCGCTCTGCACGCCAAACTTCCCGCCGAATCCAGCAGCGTAGTCCTTCTGTGAGGCGTGCTTCTCCACCTTTTCCTTGTAGTCCCAGTTCACGGCGCTCTTGTCCACCCTGTCGCTCTGCACGCCGAACTTCCCACCGAAGCCCTCGCTGTAGTCCTTCTGGGACGCGTGCTTCTCCACCTTGCCCACGTAGTCGTGCCCCATGGCGGATTTGTCCATGCGATCCGTCTCCAGGCCAAACTTGCCCCCATAACCGTAGCCTGGATTTGACTCATCAAGTATCTTCTTCTTGCGATCCGCATCCGCCTGTTCAGTCTCCAATCGCAGCTTTTCCATGCTACAATGCGAAAGTGGCCCATTAGTCATCACGAAATTGCCCCAATTACCCTGGTAATTTACTCAATTGCACCGGCTGTCCGGCCTCCCTTTGAGCCCCATCGCTGCTCCTCCTCCGATATCTCATTCACGTAATCCGGATCCGTCTCCCAGTCATCATCACCTCCGGCCTCATCGTTGAACGCCTTGGTGTCTCGTCCGGCGGCGGCTTTCCACATTTTCTCAGGGAAAAATTGCACTTTCGCGAAAGTCCCACGAAATCACCCAGGGAGTGGTTTCTAACCTCAAAGCCAAGGAAGACACTTATCACTTCGAAAAAAACATAAAATCTCTCAACTTTTCACTCGTCCCCCGTTCACTGGTCACCTATCTTATCACCAAACACCCTCGCGTAAGATTATCGCCACCATTTATCGCGCAAATTGATAAAAAAGCGGAGATGCTGCTTTTTCGTGATTCATCCCGCCGCGGGCAACACTGCTAGAATGATAATTTCGCAGCTGGCAACTCCACATCCGGCGTTCTGTCTTTCTCGTTTCAACTTGCAAAATGACTGGCATCACGGGCAAAGTAAGTTTCCCATTTCTCGTGCTTACAGTGGGTATTTGAGCAGAAATTGTAGTGAAAAATGTTCCTGAGATCCTTCGCGAATGGGTAGATGTGAAAATAGTCTGAGAAGTTTGGGGAAAAGCGTGAAAATCAGTCTCGCATTTTGCGGCATTACACGTGTGTTGTTTTCATTATGATATCTGAAAAATGTGGATCTTTCGGCATAATTCCCTAGAAAATTGCTGGCTTTCCTTTTCTACCGTTATACGTGCAGATTTCCTTTATCAGAATGAGCAAAATCAGTAGAAATATCGTTTAAATTGAGGAACATTTTTGGCGTGACTTAACCTCACTCTCTCGCCAAGTTTCAGGAAGTTGATAAATCTCTCTAATTCTTTCCTTTTATCTGTTTCAGCGGATGGTCATTGATGGCCGCAACCACCTGGTTGGCCGTCTCGCCTCTGTTGTGGCGAAATACCTGCTGCAGGGCGGAAAGGTCGTTGTCGTCCGATGTGAGGAGTTGAATCAATCCGGACACTTCTACAGGTACTGAAATATCCTTCCGACTAATGTCCTTCTTTGCCTAATGCATTTGTCTTTTTGCAGAAACAAGGTAAAATACTTGTCATACTTGCGCAAACGCTGCAATGTAAACCCAGCTCGTGGTCCGTACCACTTTAGAGCTCCTTCCCGGATGTTCTACAAGGCAGTTAGAGGTGAGATTTGCCCCCGTGAGGGTTCTGTGTTACGTCCAGTCGGTCTCTGTGATGATAAACTATCTTACCTACATTATTTGATGCAAAAAATGATAGTACATATCCCGAATCTGATGACAAATCATGTCGCTAAATGGATTCGTTGACAAAGTGAGGAGATTTCAATTATTGCTCTGCATTTCAGGCATGGTGCCGCATAAGACCAAGCGCGGCCAGCAGGCCCTGAAGCGCCTCAAGGTGTTCGAGGGCATCCCGCCGGCGTACAGCAAGAAGAAGACGGTGTGCGTGCCCATCGCCATGCGCATCCTCTGCCTCCGCTCTGACCGTAAGTACTGCAGCCTGGGACGCCTGGCCCATGAGGTGGGCTGGCAGTACTTGGACGTGATCAAGAATCTGGAGGCCAAGAGGAAGGCCAAGGCGCTGGTGGCCAATGTGCAGAAGAGGAAACTCCAGAAGCTCACCCTGAAGGCGCGCGAAGTGATCGCCCCGCGAGCGAAGGAGCACAATGAAGTCATTAAGTCCTATGGCTACAACTGAGATCCTCAATTTGAAGAGCGCCACTGAATAAACCGATGCGGAAAAGAAGATCTTTTAGCCCTTTGGGACCTTTTATGGCCTTCATGTTTCACGGGGAGCCCCATAAAAGCGTTTAGCGCTCTTTGTCGGGTGTCGCTGCGGTGGGAAGGTGGCGAGTGTAAAGATAAATTAAGTTGTAAAGTCTCATGCAATTGCACTTCGTTGGGTGTAAGGAATGATTTGGCCAGAATTTCGCCGCTCAAATTGGACAGTCAAGGTAAGTGGGTCACATCTTGTCAGAAGTTTTGCTGAGAAATTTGTAATCTTGAAATGAGGACACAAGTTGAGAAGCATTTTATTGTTATTTTTTTTAATGTTCACTTGAACATAAATCGGGATCTTTGAGAAATATTAATTGAAAATTTTTAATGCCAAAAGAACTTCAATGAAATTCAATTGAAAAATTCATAAAATTCTTTCGGGCACTATTATGGGGAAATTAATAAATTTACAATTAAAATCACCCTCGTAAAAAAGACTCCAATTAAAGTGGCTAATTTGCCAGCCCACCTGGTGCAGCATTGAAAATGGAATTCATTCCCAGATGCACAGAATTGAGCTTGCTTTGGCTGCAAAAGGACGAGAATGTGCATTTCTGGGTGGAAAATTTGCAACAAAGTGTCGCTGAGGCTCAAATCCTCACCTGATCGTTCCAATTATCGGTCAATTTGTCCGTGGCAAGCACGCAAAATCGAGGTATAAAAGTGAGCTGAAAATCGCACCAGATGACGAGAAAAGCTCGATTTTGGCTGGGTGTAATTTATTTGTGACTCCTCGGCGCGTAATTTGTGGGTAATTGGCCAGCGCAATTATAGTAATTTGTGACTCCTTATCCTCCTCAGCCATACTCCGACGTCGCGCATAAATATTTATAATTAGGCACTGGACTATGTGGCATAATTTCAAGTGGGAATTGCTCACTTTTTGCGCCTTTTCATGCATAGACTTTGGTAGCATTTCTTTTGGTGCAAATGAATGAGCAGGAAGAATAGGTCATGAAGTGAGGAGTGCTTTTGAAGAGCGAAAAGAGTATTCAGTGATGCATGGTTTTGGCTCTTTTGTGATGCACAAAGTATTGGTAATTGAGAATCTTGTCCTTTATCTCCAACATTAAAATGTTGGTCAAGGTTTCATGATTCGTCTCTTCTTTCCCATGGAATTGAAAGATGCAAAATATTTTGATTTTTCACACCTTTGATTTCTCATCATTTCTTTACATGATTAATTGCTATTCACAACAAGAAGTCAGCAAGTGAGTCTGGGAGGCTTTTTCATTGGAAATTCCGAACAACGGCGCTTTTCATCGCATTGTAAACATCATTTTTCTAAGGTTTGTAAAACATTTCACAGAAATACTGAGAGATTATAGAAATTAAAGATCTCAATATAGCTTATATAAGTTTAGATCGCAGAGTTTCACAATTCTTTGTCGTCTGTCCCTTAGACAAGCCCTTTCCTATCGAACCACAACGTTTCCTACAATGAAAATCAGATAATTAATTTTGCCACCGGCGCCATAAAATGCATGTCATATCTTTGGCCTCCCCAGCGGATGAGGACATATCAAATGTGGCTGGCAAATGAACGGCAGGAGGGGGACAGACGGGAAATTAATTGTATTATTTACATTTGCTAATTCCCAGCTAAATTTAAACTCTGAGAACATGAGAGTAAACATTTCACAGTAAATTTATGTGTGATCCCCTGAATGCAATTCTATATAGAAATTGGGGAGCAGGTGGGAAAATTCATAAAAAAAATGGTTACATTTCATTTCAATTAACCTGTATGCCGGCTGGATGTGTGGTTTCTTGCACTCACTGTTGCTGTTTTGGGCCAGAAAATCCAACTAATTAACTCGGGCCATCAATAAATTGGCATCAAAAATAGCCTCAAGTGTGCTGGACAATGTTTTTGTCCTGTGCGGCTGCCGAGGGATAATTAAGAATTCACGCGGTGTAACACCTGATTTTGCGGATTAATTTCCTCTTTTTTTTCGGTGGTTGGCGCGCTCAACGGGAAAGAATCCATCATGTTGCCAAAAGGGGTGGCTCTCCACATTGCCACAGCATTTTATATGGAAATGGTGTGTATGGAAAAATTACAATAAAAATTGAAAAATGATTTATGAGATCTTGGCGAGGGGGTAAAAAAAAGCGTCCGGAGATCAAAAGACCGCCCATCTTTTTTAATTTGTCACGCTGCAGTGAAACTCTCGTCTTCCTCCTTCTTCGCCATTCCACCGCCCTCGACTCTCTTCTGCTCAGGCACAAGAATGAAATATGACGAAGCGCACTGCGCTTTGAGATCTTTCTGGTGCAAATAATTGTGCTGGGGAGTTAATTGCTCTTCAACCATTGCAGCGCGCTCTTTCAAGACAAACATTCTTAATCCGCAAAAATTTCTCTCATTTAATGCCTTAAGCCAAGTGATTTTTAATTGGTTGCGCCGATTATGCTTCAGCCACGACGTTGAGAGCCACATTTTCCGCCCTCCCACCCATAGTTTTCCTTTTCCACTGCATCGACTCAGAAGCCACCGTGCATTTCCCGCCTCTCCTTCCCTGAGAAAGGAAGAAATGGAAAAGGCACGGAGAAAAACACTAACCATTAACCCATTAAATGTAAATTGGAAAAAGGGGGTTGTAACTCTGAAAGCTCTTCCATTGACTGGTAGAAAAAGAGGCGGCTAGTGTTTTAAAAGCACAATTGATTAGGCAAGAAAATTCCTTTTAATATGAAAATTATGCAAAATGGGCCGAGGAGAAGTGCATGCAAACGATAGTTTAATGCTATTTCTCTACCTTTACTATGCATAAATTTCAGGATTTATGCCGTTTTATTGTCGCTCATGGACATTCCTCTTGCTCAATGAAGAAATAATACAGGTGACAAGAATTAACAGCTCAAGGATGGAGATTTTTATCCTGTTTTCATTACAACTCATTTTTGCAAAATATATGACTCGATTTTTGATAAACAATTCTACCATTTCGGAAAGGTCATCATATATTTCCTGCAAACCGACAAAGAAGTTCACCGTCATATCTTAATGTTACAGCTAAAGATACTTAAGTAACAACAACACCGTCTGCTCGATGGCACGCGTTTATACGGGGCAATTTTATCATTTTATTGCCATGCAGATCGACTTGATGGCAAAGAGCGCGCAAAATTGAGGCAAGTCAAGCTGATGAGCAGCTGCAAATTTGTCTCCTTCGCGCCCAAAATCATGCCTCAAGAGCCGAGACATTGACGTCAAGGTGACTCCAGCTTCGTCACCAGAGAGTAGGAATCCTCCATCTGCGTACGTCATTCATTGAGACGACACTCAGAGCCCATAAAGTTGTCAGCTGTTTGCGAGGCTCACTGGACATGAATGGGACCTGCGATGAATTTATCAACATACTAAAGCGCCAATATTAATTGGCATAATTTGGCGAGCATAATTTTCTCCGGTCGCCCAGGAGGGCAAGGCACACATAATTTTTAATTTCTGGGACAAATATGACAATTGGCCGAAGGGGAATTGAGGTCTTTTTCCCTCCGCTCTGCTCAACGCAAAACAACGCGTCTCACAAAGTTGCTGCACAAATTTGCATCTAGAGAAGAAGTCTTAATTTTTCAAATCTCATTTGTAGCCTTTGTTACTGACAATCTGCACAATCTATAATTATAAGATACATCGCGAAAGAGTCTTTAGCGGTGACCGCCGAATGAGGAGTGAAGGAAGTCATGTGTGATTGCGAAAGGATCACTGACTCTATCAGACACGATTTGGGCGGATTCCGTTGCCCTTTTCGCCTGTCCCCATTTCTCACTCCACAATTATTTGGCACAGACGAATTACAGAGGAATTCCCGGTGACCGTTTGATGGATGCCTTTGACCCTCTGGGCTGACCAGAGTCACAGCTCTGCGCGCACTTATCATCCTGTGAATTTTTGGCCAGTTCCGCAGCCCTGATTAAAGAGCCATCCATCATTTTTTGCGCCTGCACTGGCAAAAGTGCACCGGCACTCCTTCTGACATTATTAATCTTCCTATTAATTGCATGTGGCGATGAACTCAGGATGGAAAAGGGGCTGAAATACCGCCCTGTTAATCACTCTTTCATTGTTGCCAAAAACCAAATATTAAAGGAGTTTTTTCACATGTTTATCTTCTGCCAGAGAACTCAATGGTTTGACGTGGATGAATATTTGTACGATTCCATAAGACAATAGCTGAAACAGGACAAATTGGGATAAAAATATTTTATCCACATTACAGATTAATTGATAAGCACCCAATTCAGGTAGTTTGTTGTTATCAGCTGCACTTTCAATTCCTATTCTGAAGCGTGGCAATATCTGTAAAATTATACAGTGAAATTCGATGGTAATTGCAACAATTTCCATTGGCTTTTCGTGAGCCTTCGTTGGCTCTTGCGCCCATTCTGTCCTAGTGAGTGGAACTTTTAATAGATTCTCAAACAACTATTATCGCTCATGGTCTTATCACTTGCACTAATCTGTCTGCAACAATTTCATTCCTCCGACAATGTATTCTTGGTGGCCGCAGAATATTGTTGGAGGAAAAATGTTATGTATTAGCAACACGACGACGCCGTAAATTACTATTTCCCGGTACCTATTTATTAGCTCCGCGTATAATTCAGAGCATTTGAATAAACACCGTACATATGTGGCATAAACTGCAATTAAATGTAATTATCAGACTTTTTGTCGCTGTAATTTGTACTTTTTTCTTGATTACTCTACCGCCATGGAGGTTCTGCCGTTCTTACACTCTCTATTATGGATGGCCACACAGTCGCGCGTCCATATTGTCCGGTGAATTGGCCAACGACAGGGAGGGTGGACTGCGGGGTGGCCATCCCCCTTTTCGCTGGCTGATCAATCATACTCAGCGGCCCCAGTCGAGAGAGACACTTCATGGCCACATGGAAGTGGATTAGTTTGCGGGAGAAAGAGCCATTTGCCAGATGATGTGAGACTGAGAGACTTTC